ACGAATGCTGTGGGTTTTTGTACTCGTGGTAGCCAAATATTTATAGCTAATCGAATGTAATTGCTTTAGGAAAACTTTCCTCTGAGTTATGTGAATAATATCTTCGGGGGTGGATTGAGTAAATATTAGATTTTATCGAGGGTTAGTGTAGTTCACATTCAATGTTTCCTATTACCATAAAACCGTGTGTTTTGTACTTTCGGTAAATGTTATGCGATTGCAATGGTATTGAAATTGGGGTTGACGTTGAACTACAATGTGAATAGAATTGTATAAAAAATATTTACAAGTTTATATTACATCTCTTTCCGCGTGTGAACCAAAATTTTTTTCAATACCTGAGTAGACTTTTCGTTGGTATGATAAAGAAGAAATCCATCAATCTGTAGATCTCTTTTATCATTGTTGACTCGAGATGTGCCTACAGTGCATATAAATTCTTTATTCGAGCGTATATTATTTAGTATACACAAAACGGCGCTGTACATCTCCTTTATATACAACTTGACGTGACTCGGCTATTGTATTGCTATGAGTTCAATGATCAATGCTTCAAGTGTATACACGTCATTACATAGAGGTACTGAGTGCGGAATTGAGAAGGTTCTTTGGTAAATAAATCTACATGGCGTAATATGTGTGTTTGGGGAAGAGACATTATTATATATTGAGTGGAACATTGTTATTGATGGTGATCGACTTGAGAAGACTGGAATTTCATGTGACATCTGAGAAATTTCAATTGGATTTCACGGAAAAAAATTCCGTTTGTCATGCAAAAAAGAGAGATATGTTTCAAGTGCGTGTGAAATTGTTTTTTTTTTCTCCACCAAAAGTATGTATATCATCTTATTTATAATTCGCTTATTGACTATAATCTCGTTTTGATCCAATTTTGCAGATAGAATATTTAAATTCATGTGTAACACGTACATTTTATGTTACATATTTATCCTGAATTGATCTGTTGGTTGACAAAGCTATTGGAAACATAAATCAACATATTAATATGACAAAGTGAAACTCGACTTTTATATCATTTTTTCCTGTTTAAAAAGAGATATAAGAGGGTTAATATCTCTAGAGACCTCTATACTCAATGATATGATTAAATGTAATGATATCAGGATAAATGAATGCATACTTTTGGAAGCAATATCAATTAATTTGGCTTTTCCTCATCTGTGAGCTTAGAGTAAATATGAATTGATTTATGGAATAAAATTCCCAAGTCGGTAAATTTACAAATTTGACGTTGGTAAATTATAGCGAGAATGTAATTTGTATCAGATTCACACGATATGATTTTAAATAATACTCTTATAAATATAAATAGCATGCATGAGGGATGAAATTGTATGGTGAAGTCTTTTGGGAAAAATAAATATGAAATTTCCAAAATCAGGAACAGAGCAGAATTGGAATTGTTGGATGTTCACTTGAATTGAGTTTCTGGGTGAATTGAGTATGTAATGTGGGTGGAATTTGATATAAGGTAAAGAGTTTTGAAGATTGTGTTTCGAACGTCCCACAAACAAATAAACGTATATAAGTATACCTCAATTTGATGCTTTTCCAATATGTATAATTTTGGTTACAGCGTTGAAATCAATACAATTTAATATGAAACATCTGAAAGTATGGAATTTAATTTAATCAGGAATATTTTAGGATCAATAAATCAACCCGCTGAATATGCCGAAGATATTTTTGATGAAAAGAATTTTCTACGCTGTACTTAAGCTTCTAGCCTTGTTTAAGAGATGCAGCATTAAAGAGTATATTATTTCTCTGTCCCAGCTTTTGCATTTCAGGAGTTCTTGCAAGTCCTATTACCCAAGTCCGTTCTGGTGAAATTTTGCAAATATCCAGCTGGATACATTCGCAGCACAATGAGCATAAGAGGAGTCTAAAACAAAATGTTGGAACTAAGTAAATCATATTTTATGGAACACATACACTCTACTGCTCGTGGTACCTTATGAAAATAAATTGTAATTTGTTGGGGTATCAACTTGTATACGAAGAAATAATTTTCCATTTACCGTTTTCATATTTCATGCTTTGAGTTTTTCTCCACAACTCCCTTCCACATTCGTTTGCTTCTGTAATTCGGGTGAGAGCATTTAGATTTTTCCTGTTTTTTTTTTCAATATGTGTGGCCTTTTTGTCACTCGCAGTGAATTTGTAGTTTAAATTTCCAACAGGCACACCAAACAGGTGCGTTTCCGGTGGAATATCGGGTGAATAGTGTTTAAAAGTTTCCACTCCTGTTGTTACACCCTCCCATTTGTCCTGCTTTCTCCCATAAAATCTGCAATTTATTTTCATTCGTTCGATCACCATGGCGTGTGCAGAGAAGAACTACGGGGGGTAAAATAAACATTTTTTTCCTTCTCCTCTTTGCTCTATATTGTTAGAAAATATTTGCAAGCAATTGACCTGGCTTATTTATAGTGTTCCATTAGATATAAATTTTTCTACACGTTCCTGTACCACTTTAAAGTGTCGACAGGAGGTTGAAATAGGTGAAGGTGGAATTAATTGGAAAAGTACACAACCCTTTGAGCATTTTCATAGAAATTTTCCTGGAAATCGTGTGATGTTTGTCAGCACGATCAAAATTTATCTACTTTTAAAGTCTCTCTTCAAGTTTCTATAGTCTTTCTAGCAGGTTTAAAACAGCGAATCCCTTATAATATTGCAAACGCCTATCTGATTCATTTTTATCCCACTTTGCAAAAGTGGACGACGTAAAGTAAAGTTAGTGACACGAAAGTTAGTTGTGCATGTTACTAAACAATTTTTGAGCAAAAGTATGTTATTTATCTCATTACAAAGTTGCTACAGTGGTTAAAGAAGTCATCCTCGCAAACACATTTATCTTTCAGTGTGCTCTCCTCCGTATCTCTCCAGTCAGCAGAGCACACTTGGCTGACTTATACAACTCAAGCGTATCATATAAGGACTCTAGCTAGCTTCGCTTCGACGTCATACTGTTACTGCGCACCAGAAAATCAATGTATTTCCAGAAAGATTGTTATATGTACGCTTGAAAGAGTTAAATTAAAATTTCTGAGAATTTATTTCGTGATTCTGTGTATTAGGGATTATTGAAGTGGTATTTTAATTAAAATATGCAAATTTATTTGATGCTGAGTAAGAAAGAAACGATCAAAGGTGGTATTCGCGTTATCTAAAGACTAACATATTTGTATTTCGCAATAATTTACGGTATTCTTGGAATCAGGGAAGGAATTTAATTTAAATTATTACTTGTAAATAATCCTGTTTAAGGCAAACCATTGCTTAGGCATCAAGTATTCAGAATTTATTGTTTAAATATAGTAAATCTATTGAGAATAGCAGACTATGAGTTTCTTAATCGACTTCCTTCTCATATTGAAAACTGTAAAAACGACATAATTACAAGTACTTACCTATTGTATACATATATTAATAGTCAACTAATGGGTATTTTGCCAATAATTTCTTTCTTGCAAGCAATTCAGAACATCTGTGGAAATTTATTGACTCAAGTAAAGGTGCTTTAATTAATGACAAATGATTTATGGTATACACACAAGTGTTCTACATCGCTGGCAGACCGGCCCTAAACATATCACAATTTGCTCTATAATGTACAAATGTATGAGCACTGTGTCGATTAATACAGAATTGATAGTATTTATTCTTCATGATAATTTTATGTAGGTTCAAAAATATAATCCTGAAAAAATCGGTCAAAGGAGAAATTTTGTTTGCACTCCTTTAGATATTTTAGGGTATTTTGTTGATATTGTTCTCACCCGGAATACTAATTTGGGACAGCCCTCTTTAGAAAGCGCAATCAAGGGAACTATTGTAAATAATCTACATAAGCTTATAATATTTGGTTTGAACAGTGAATATATGATGTGGAGATGGGAGAAACGTGAAATTGTCGCGCCTAATTTTGACATCAAAAGCGAAGGCACAGTGAACAATGTTAGTATTCTGGGAATGTGATCTGGCGAGGAGTAGTTGACTGTAAGTTGCTGATAGATATGGATAATGCAAGGACAGTGGGAAATGAGGAGCCGGAGATGAGTCTATGGAATCCTTGACAAATTCACATTGAATTTCAAGTAGTTGGCATCAACGTGAAAATGTACATAAATTATGCAAAATCTGTATCATAAAACACATTGCTGAACGCCGAAAGGGCCGACATTTTCGCCACACACACGTCTGCATTTCCTATACATTCTGGCATGGGAAATCTTATGTCGAGCTGTATATACAATTGCCTAAGAAAGAAGTGAGTGAGGTATTCTACACATCTCTGAAAGTGAACTTTCTTTCCCGGTGTTATTGTATGTAAGCACGTTCTGAACATTTCCATGTCTGTGCCTTTCGTGTTTACGTCCAAATGCTTGGGTATAACGATGTGAAGCGCTGAAGAAAATATTCTAACTTCATACCACTTTATACCCCATCCACATGGAGGGAATTCTTTTATCTCATTCCCAGAATGTAGTGAAGATTTCAATTAATAAAATTAGAGGATAACCTAACGTTTTAATTATGACCACATTATCTCAACTAATCCAGCTACTTTACTTTAAATGATAGGGAGGGGACATTCCAATGACGAGAGAGGGCAACTTTTCTTCGCGCAAATGAATTTCTGCAAGACCAGAACTATTTCAATTGAAACGTCTTAGTTAAGAGATGAGAAGCATTGAGGAATTTTATAGAATGGCTGAGAGATATAAGAAGACTTTCAATTAGTCTAATTCATTTCTGCGACGAATTTCAGAGAGTGGAATTTGCTGAGATTTATGTTTTAATTTTCTTTCAAATTGCTCTAATGAAGTATTCAGTTTCGAAATTAGTGGCAAAGTGGAATGTCTCTAGAGGGAGTTGCTCTTGTGTGAGCACGTCACTCTGAAGTCAACGATGGATTTAAGTTTGTCGAGTAAAGAAGTAAATCAGTAAGATAAATATGCTAAAGTTGCTTTTATTCTTTAAATTCTGCGAATTCGTACACAAAAAGAATCTTCAGTAATTTTCCTTTATTACACATTACGAAGCCATTGGAATGTATACTTCTATGTAATATATTTGCTCTTTGCCAAAATATTACAGACATTGGATATTACTTTTGTTGTGTCTCTTAGCTGAAATGTTATGAACATGCCTAGTCTCAAGAGGAAAATTCTCAACTTTTTTGGCTCATATTAAAATGTGAATTGTGTGGAGGTTTTTCTCCATCTCAGTGTGCTTTTTACGCTCATGAATTCCCCGTGGCAAGTTTCTGAATTTATTTGTATAAAGTCAATAAATATCCCAGAGAAAACTAACCACCCACCCATTACCGCCACTTCGTCGCCGGAGGAGTCGTGATCGATTTTTTTCGGGGGCATCTCGAGAGGGAGAAAAAAGCCCTTGGATGGCATGTTGTAACTTATTTGAATTGGGATTCTATTTAGTGAAGATCCGCCTTCCAATTTCCTCGAGATGAGTATCAATATCTCTCCAAGGATGCATTATAGGAAAATGGCGCAATCATGACTATGATTCCTATGGCTTCTATGCTATAACGTGGTGTTCATGCAGGACTGTTTGTGATTAATTTCATATATCTGAAAATTTGTGCCAATGTTCAGTGTATGAAGGGTTTCAGACTGGTCCAAACTTTCTCTGTCCGTCACAATATTCGCGTTGCCGTAATATCCTGTGACACGGGAATTTATTTAACTTTTAATGACACAATTATAGTAGAATAAGAAGCAAGTTTTTGGCAGCGAGTCCGGGTAGAAACCATATGCTGTGAGCGAAACTGTGGCGGGTTTTAGTGGTCTCGTGAAAATGAAATTAGCCAGAATATAATTTTCCTTGAATGTGGTGCTCATTGTGAAGTTTGGATCCTGAAAAGACGGACGAGAATGTGGTTATATTTTGTCATTTTTTACCACTGATGCTGTGTGCTTTACATCAGACTCGAAGACAACGTAAGTCATGTGAGCTTGACCGCTGAATTCCAAGCGGAGTTTCTCCACCTTTTCTTCCGTGTACGAGTACTGTGATGTTCTGGCGACCAAAACGTCCCCTAAAAGTCATCAATATATAGTGTTGTATATGGCGAGAATTAAAGACAAGTGTTTCCGTAACACGCGCTTAATTGAGTGGTCTCACCTTCAACTCGATTTCCAAATATCACATAATTGCTACCATTGGTCGCATGCTCGATAATGGGTGTGAAGAGGTGATGTTCAACGTTTTTGCCTTTATTGGGGATAGATTCAATTATTATCTCTCAATTTTCCTCATTTACTCACTAAATTGAAATGCACGATTGGACGATAATTCGTACTTTTATATCCTGAAGCATGCGATTGGCCAAAAGCATAATTGTATCCAATTTGTGTTTTGTCCAAACTTTGTATCACTGATGAAGTGTTGGCAAACTTTTCTACACTGAATGTGTCCAAATCCGGATTGTTTTCACTCGCCACCATGCAAATGATGGACAGAATAAAGTATAACAAACACTTTGTTTCCATTTCACTGCAATTATTTAACACTATATCAATTTATATATATATATTATTGCGATGCTCCACTAGAGAGACTCCAGGAAGGAAACTGTGTATTCACTGAGAGCCAATACTTGACTGAATGTCGCTATTTTCGCGGATGCTGTGCAAGTTGTAGGGGGAACTTGGCCTTTGCTTAAAACCCGTTTTCTCCTGTGTAATCTTTATAAGTCTGGCTTCTTCTGTCGTATGAATTATGGCTGTGATTTTTATATACTAGCACCTTGAATAAGTATTTGCAAAAAACCTGTTCAAGTGATGCGACTGATCAGCATTTGGAAATACCTGTGAGACAGACGAGAGATCAATATTTTGCTCTGTATTAGTTTCAGCATTTTTGTGTGTAAAAGATACTTCTGTAAACGCAAATGTTCATCATTCTCTACCGGGAAAAACACCGCACAAACCAGTAGTTCACGTCATAGTTTGAATATTCTAGCGTGCGAAATGCAAATTGCAACAAATTGTAATTTTAATACACTGATAGAGCATGTAATCCTTCATTTGTTCACGAGGTGATCAAAACAATGTGAATGAACAAGTATATATTAACCAATAGGCAATTCATAATTATCTAGGATTATTGTCATAAAATACATTTAATGAAGCAGCAAAAGGGAAATTGTGTCTATATTACATACATATAACATTGATATGCGTTGTTTGTAGGATTTAAATTCGAATTTAAAGCTCAACCATAAAATCACAGTTGAACCTTGCCATTCCCAAGTTCGATACTCTGGATTGACGTCACTTTTGCAAACGAGTTTTGTGTTTCTTGTTGATTATAAGTTTGACGGCATGATAAAAAGATCATATTTGTCATAGTTTCTTAAAATTTCCTTTAATCTGTATCACGTGCAAACTCTTTTGTGAGTATGTGTTGAGATGAGTGCAAAGTTTGCAGCAAAAGTGTTACAAAGAATTTTTCAGGGGAATGTATATAGCATATTTTTTTTAGCAAAATTTCAATATTTGCGCTTTCTTACAGTGCTTTCACATCAAAGTACAGTTACTCGAGGTTCCTTCTATGTATTTTGGCAATTATGGCTTTGCCGGGGTGAAAAGATATGCCTAAAAATATTTGACCGAATGCTTACTTGCTCTTGTGAGTTTTGGGAGTGGCTCTGATGTGTGAGCGTGGCTGATGGAATAAAAAGAGTGACCCGTGCTGGAGTGTGGGGGAATAGACTAATTTCGGCCTCGTTAATCATGTTTGCAAGTTGAGCTGAGAGTAAAGCTATTTCAGGTATACTAATCACATAGCATTGGCAAAATATTCCAGAAGCCTCTTGGAAAATTACCCAACATGGGCAACAGTGTTGGGCAAAAGGAGGGCTAAAATAGATTGTGTATGTACATGATTCTGGTGGAGAAAACATTATTGGGTTGGCCAATGAATTGTTCGTAAATGCTTCTCCCGACCAAATGTTTCCATTTTCACCATCGAGAGCAGAAAACGTTCCTCCAACTGAACCAACCATTACAGAACAATACAATTTCCTCGATATCACCCCTCATTGCTATATGAGCGCATAGTTCGTATTTGGTCCTATAGTGAGAGATGTTCCACTATAGTTACTTTGTATGGGTGCACGATGGCAAATTGCAACAATGAAGGTCTTGGGGAGTACCTTACGATCTAATTGTTTATGAAATATCCCCCGTGGAGGTCGTGGGAAGAGAACGGAAAAGCTCCGACGAAAATGAGAAATATAACAAATCATCGGGTATTGTTGCAATGTGACTTCGTTTTTTTGCTGGCTTCGCTCCCAGTAATTGGATGTTGTTGAACTGCTGCTGGTCCTTCCATTTCACTAATGATCATGAAAATATTTATTTACTACACGACCCATGGGAGTTGACTTGCGATGTTTTATGTGGAAAATCCCTTCAGAATGTCAGAGATTTCCCTCAGATGCTGAAAATTGGCGTTCTGGCAAATAGAATGGAACAGAGCTCTTCCTTTTCCACATGTCTTGCGCCACAGTAATTCGGCAAAGGGCTTAGACATGGCATTTCTGAGTGAATTGCCAGGATTGTTAGTGGCTTCCAATTATGTCATTTTCCATTCAACACCATAGAGCGCATATTTGGTTAAGACTTAATGCAATTTAATTGACTGCTATTGATTTTTGGGTCACTCTTTAGTTCTAATTTGATATGATACCCTTTGGAGGTGAACATTTACATAGGGACCTATCGGTGTAATTGAATGAACCCATTGGTTCATGCTAATTAGTATACGTCTTGTGTGATCCGAGATGGAGTGAATTAAACCTTGTAGCGGATAATTGAATACAATTATAATTGTTTCTTCTCCCTTTAACAAATGGATATCCATTAGGACAATTAACACGGAAATCTTGATAATAATATTATTGGATGTCATTTATCAAATAAGAGACAGACGCGAGTACTTAATTTGTTAATAATGTCATTTTAACTAATTATTTCGAGATGGATTCACAGCATGTCACAGAATAAACCTCTGCAAATATTTCACCGAGATTTTGAAGGGATTATTTGGCAAGTAGCGTACAATTTCCGGTGATGCTGAGTGAGAGATGGGAGTTTGAGCCAATACAGTGTTAGTCTTGCAGAGTGCCTCTGGTGAAAATTTTATGTTATTTGAAAGCCTATGCAGGAGTAGAAAAGGGGACATGACAAATTCTGGGATCAACCTTATTCTAGAACAACGGAGAGACACTGGTGAGAAACATTATATTGTGGTGCACAGAGTGGATGATGGTTCGTCGCTGAGTGTGTCGGGAATGAAATGAGAGGGTGAAATTAGGAAATAAGACCTCCTCAGCTCCCGTACTCGCATTGTTATATACTCAGCGGCAGAGCCGAGGGCGGGTGGATGTGTTTTTCACAGACCTATGGAAATTGTATGCTTTAATTTGATCGTCACAATTTCCGTTCAACATGGGTTACGGTGGAAGCTCTTTTCGGCGCTTGACACAAATTGACAAATGATGTTGGCATGTCGATGCCTCTTTTTTTCATGAGATTCATGGTCCACTTGAAATTCACCATTCATTCACCACATATATACTCTGAGCCAAGCATTTGGTACAAAATCAATGATGACTTTTTCATCCTTATCCTTTCTCTTTCTCTCCTCTCCTCTTTGCAGATGATGAAAACGCGCACGTACACGGTGTTTTGACGTCAGATAATCTGTTTGATGGGACAATTTCCACCAATGTTGAGACGTACTATGTGGAGCCAGCACGGAAATACTCTAAGGCCTTAGATGATGCTGGAATACATTCAATAGTGTACAAATTGAGTGATGTCAAGAGCCACCCGTCACTTCATGCTGAACACTGTGCCAGTGAAAAGTTCCATCGAAGGCGGGTGCTCAATAGCTACTTTGGTGGTGAGCGGAAGCGCGCTAAGCGATGGCTCCCGGAAGAGGTGTGTATATAACCTATTCATTTTAGCATTATACTCGCGATGATGAGGAAGGTGAGAGGATGGAATCCCAAATGCTAATTTTAAAGTTCTTCCTCGCCAACACTCCTCTGAGACTTCTTTTCCATTATAATTTTTTCTTCCGCCTTGCGCCCTTCGGCATCGGAAGTTGATAATGAAATTTTGAGGTTTATTTCCGTGAAAAACTCTTCTTTTTGCTATCTTCATCCTCTGCTGTATGTGAGAGTTTCCTTTATACGGGATACGTTGCATATGATAAAATCATAAACTGCTCCTTTCGGGTGCAATATTGCTAAAGACTTTCTCTCTGTTACCTGCCCTCGCATGCCTGCACTGGATAGTTGAGATACAGAACGGGAAGGAAGGGGAAAATAGTTATGTTGCTATGCCTTGAATGTTGTATAAAGTTTTCAATTGGGGCAAAACAAAATGGTGTGAAGAATGTATATGCAAAATCTTTAGTTTTAAAGCTCTTTGCTGATAATTGACTTTGCCTTCAAATTCTATGGAGTTGCACTTTGTAAATTTGCAAATTTCATGAAATTGACAAACAAAGCAACGGACTATAAAAATACATTTTCCTAATCGGATTAAAGTTTTTCCTCGCAGTACAATTGCAATTCTCAACAACACTCCAATGGAACTCAAGAGTGCATCAGTTCTGCGAGATACCGAGTGTTGTATATAAGTTCCAATTTAATTTTCCTCGATTTGTTACACTGTAATGGTGTATGTAAATGAAGGAAAAACTTCATATTTCCCACTTCAATGCAGCTATGGCGCATCTTATTAAATTAGTTTAGTTTATGTAAGAAGTTGCTTAGCATAACCTCACGGCGTGGTGTGAAGTAAGTGGATAAATTTCACTGAATAATGACCAATGAATTGTGCTAATGCACCACAATTTTTCTGCACTTTTCATATACATTAAGGAATGAAAGCTATGGTGTCTCGCAAGAAACTGTTTTTCCATCACATAACAATTGTGGCGAGTCCGACTGAGTTTTGTAGCTCGTATGGCAATTGTTAAAATCTTAAATAGCTATTGTTGCGTACTGTAATTAGGTTTCATAGTTGAAAACGTTGAAAAGAAGAAAAAAAGTGGACCATTGAAATTGAGCATGTCTCAGAGTTGAACTTGTCCGCGTATGTCGTGAAAGAGTATTGCACAAAAGTGTAGTGCGAAGTAGATAAGGAATGAGAAAAGACATCTCGTGAATGAAATAATTCACAATTTTAGCCATCACGTAGGAAATCCATTGATCTAATCGTGTGATTATGTGAGATTTGTACAGAATGGCTTTTGTATTGAATGAATTGGAGAGCGAGAGAGAGAGAGAGAGAGAGAGAGAAATGTATTAATGGTGCAATTTTGTAATTTGATTTTGCAGCTGTCAGAGAGTCAAAATCCACCACTACCATTAGATCTCGACGTGCCGTACAACGATGACTTCAGCATCATAAATCGCAATAATCGAAATGACGACGACAAAGGCAGCAATGCTGGAGTCATTTCCCGCACCAAATCGAATCGGCAAAATATTCTTGTCGGCAACTACAATCCCAATAGTGACTTCAATCTCCGGAACACGTTCGGCAATCGCAATATAATAGTGAGCAGTTTTGATAATTCAAAAGTGCCAACAACGATACCATCCAACTCCTCGAGACCCAGTCACAAGACTCACGTGGAGATCATCACGAAGCATGGTGCCACGAAGAAGCCAAATATTATTGTGAATAATTACAATCCCGATGTGATATTGACACACAACAACTACAACAACTACATTCACCTTAATGTTAAGAATGAGCTGCTGGAGCAATCCAAGTCGGCGTACGATAAGAAGAGCACGTGCATGCTCTACTTGCAGGCAGATCACACGTTTTTCCAGAAGATGGGCTCCGATGAAGCCAGTATAGAGGCCATCACTCGCCATGTACAACGTGCCAATATTATCTACAAAAATACAGGTGAGTTCCCAAATTCAATGGTGAACCCTTTAACAAATGGGTTAAATGGAAATACTGTGAATATATGTGGAGTCTCGAGGGGACTGTCATTAATATTTTCGCTATACACAAGGCGCTGTGCAATTGAAGTTTTCCCAGGGAAGATATAAATTAAATTTGAGCTCCTGTGCAAAGTATATTTATATATTCCTTAAATCGATTATAAAATGTTCATATGCTTATGCATTGTCTGGGTCAGGAACATAACAAATAACTGAATGAATGTCTTATACGAACTTTGAATATTTCATGTGTTTTTTTTCCTTTTCGAATCATTGGGCGAAGAAATTGGGCCGTCGGCAGAGAATAAGTACGACAAAGAAGTGGCAAAAATGTCTTAGCTCACTGAATCTGAAAGCTTCCCCATTTAATCAATGTATTCCAAAATTATATGTTGAAAAGGATTTTGTCTCTGTTCATGTAAAATTGTAGTGAAAAATTCAGTGAATGTAAAATTCCTGTGAAATCTATTTTCGGTATAATCATTGCGGTCAAAGTTTATGTAAATAAACGCCTTCACGGCTTATTCACAGGAAATTTGATTAAGAATCGGGATTGTGAGTTGGCTGAATACTAAAATGGCGCTTAAATTCTTGCGTCATATTGCTAATCTGGGATCACTGTATAATTTGCATTTATTCGACAAACCCCTTGTGAAAATTCACATAGAGCTTAATTAACTGAATAATTTTCTTCGTAATCAACATCCACCATGAAAGCACCTAGAGATTAATGATGAAAATCTGTTTTGGTTTTCACTGCTCTCAACAAAGAGCTGGCCGCCCTCCACTGGGGAAATTAATTATTGGACATATTTCTAGAGGGAAAACAGAGGCAGATCGAGTGAAATGGGGGAAAATACTTCAGTGAGTGATGATTCAATATTTTCTTTCATCAAACATCTCAAAATTGTTTTATCACTGATGAAGTACAAATAAATGTGGAGGTGAACTTAATGGGAAAAAATCATCAGCGTCTGAATCTAGAAATAACTTTTCTAGTCAATATTGGATTTTTTTTATAGCGACCATCGTCGCTTGGAGTTATTGAAAAATCTCTCCTGAAGATATCGAATATCATGTTTCGTGTGCATGTAATAAGTTGAAGAGGAGTTAGAGTATAGAGAGGGTTAAAGGAGACTTCAGAAGAGATTTGATATTGTGACTGAAACAAAAATGATATATAAATTCTAGCTCATAAATTTTTTGCAAGTGAGATGAGAATATAATGGATGTTCTGAAAGAGTGAGACAAGCCTTTATATATATATATATAAGAATGAGCTAGAGCTTTTTCGAGCCAATTGAATCCCATGAGTAGCTGCATAGTCCACCGAGGGGAAATTTAATAACAAGTGTCCTATTAAAAGCTGTATGAAGATGTATTTTTTGTCTGCATTCACCATGAATATATTTTTCCATATTATGTTTTGGCTGTGAGACGAGGAAAAAGTGGCCACACGAGGGAAATTTACGAGCCCGACTCTCCAAGAAATGCAATTTGGAAATCTGATAATGTAAAACTGGAACTCACTAATGACAGTCATTTATCTTATTTTCTTTCCTCATTTTTCTCTCTTTTTCCCTGGCCCCAAACAACCCTCGCTTTTTCTGGTTCGTGTGGGAAAATTTTGTCCTGACTCGGCGAGCAATCCCTAAAATACCACCCAGGAAACTTATCAAACGTAATAAGTTGACAAATCCTTTGCAGTGAAGCGCAATGGAAGTTATCTATTCTTCTTAGTGGCACTGGGATGTTCAACCCTTGGCATTAGCGTGGGGGAAATAGGCAAAAATATACGTAGCATTAGACATATTTTTGCTGTCACGTTTAAATCCCCATATATCTTAATGGAAATCTGTCATATTGACCCTAAAGTTACATTCTATTTTTCATCATAAGCGGAAATTCGCACAAATTTATGCCACAGCACTTAGTTTTTCCAGAAGTGTCGCTTTTATTACGTGAATTATGGCCGCGCTTGTTGCTATTCCCGCTGTCGTTGAGCCACAATGAATGACCACTATTAATAACTTGAGTGGTTAGCTAAAATTCCATTCGTGACTGTTGGACTTTGCAAAAATTAGTTTTAAGAATGTATATACTATTGTTTATTGAGAATTCTTTTCCCGAACAAATCACAGTATTTTCAATAGTTACATGTGAGCATGTAAACTATGGCTTTAGTTTGTCTCTCTCACTTGGAGCTGGGTTGTCCTTGCTGTAATTCCAAGGCTGTATGTCACCCTTGGCGAAGATGATGAACAGTGTGTTGCCGACAAACTTGAGTCCTGCAGCGACGAAGAACACGATCCTCCATTCGTATGCATTCTTGTGGTCGTGTAGAACGGCTCCAGCAAAGAGTGGCGCCACCAGAGAAGCGGCGGTGCCGGCAAAGTTGGAGATGCCCATAAGTATTCCGGCATGAATGGGAGACAAGTCCAAGTGATTGAGTAGATAGCCAAACATGGCACCAGAGCTCAAAGCTACAGTGACTATAAGAAGCACAATGGCTATGATGGGCTCATCCTGAGGCAGCAGTGAAAGAGCAATCAAAACCGATGCTGATCCGTAGGTTCCGATGGAGTTGAAGAACTTCCTCGTGTTCCCAATGGACATGTACTTGTGATTGATAATGAAGTCCGAAAAAGTGCTGAAGACAAAGGATGTTAGCCATTTGACGAAGTACGGTAGAGCTGACAGAAGAGCGCTCTGGAGAAAGAAGAGAAATATTTTACTAGGAATTGGGATTTCAAGAGCTCTTGAGGGAGCTCTTAAAGGCAACAGTGTTGTATGAGTGATAAGACAATTTTGTAAGAATCAGCAAATGCGTCTGATAAGCAGCAATTGTGTTGGTTTTGCGGTTGTTAATTCTCTCACGCATAACCGTAAATGCTTTCTTCTTGAATTGTCCAATAAAATGATTAGATTATCATCTACTGATGTGAAAGGTAAAAGCCGACCTTAATAGATTCACCTGGAAAGTCGTAAATTGTCATGATAGTCTGGTCGATCACCCAAAGATATCAATTGTGATTTTCAAATGAACCCATGAGAGAACTTGAAAACGGCACTTGTTCTCATTGATCACAAGCTAATCTTTACCTCTTTCATATCGTAGTTCAGAACGTTCTTTATGTAAGTCGGCACTTGAGTAGTCATTGTTCCACTGTTCCAGTTTCCTACGCAATGAGCTAAGATCAAAGCATACACCGGAGGAGACGTGAAAATCTTCTTCCATGGAGTTTTGATTTTCTGAAAAAACGAAATCAATAAATGAAAGTATTTAATTTAAAAATAATACTCACCTTTATAACTTGAACTTTAGTCACTTGTCCAAGACATGATTGGATGTAGTCCTTCTCGCCAAGTGATATGTAATTGTTCTGTTCGGGAGAACTGCTGCCAGCAAAGAAGTAGAATACAGCCCACAATAGTCCAATGGATCCAGAAATGTAGTAAATTGCTGGCCAGCCGACTGATGACACCGCGATCAATCCACTTGTTGCAGTCGTGACGACATTCCCCAAAAAACCTCCGGCATATACAAATCCTGCGAGGCGACTTCTTTCACTGGGTGGCACCCAAACGGACAGCAGAGTGTGGAGGCAGGGATTGAAGCATCCCTGAAAGAGTCCTTGGAGCGTTCTAAGGGCACAAACCAGACCCCATCCCCCAATTTGCGCTCCATAAGGGATGAAAACACATGCCACAGAACTTCCAATGGCAGCTATCAGCAAAATGTTCTTTGCCCCAAATCTCCTGGCCAAGAGTCCAGCTGGGAGGATACTTATCAGGTATCCCCAGAAGAAACTGCTCAGGATATAGGATTGGGTTTGTGGGGTCCACTTGTACTCAGGAAAGTCAGGATTGGCCGCTTGAGCGTCCGTCATCGCCACGATGGCGATCGGAGTGTTGCTTCTCAGGCCATGGTTAACGTTTGATAGCACGAACAAGAGAAAACACTGAAAATGTCGCACTCCGACGATATTTCTGGGTTTTGACGGTGTCGGAATATCTTCCGATTTCGATGTTATTGCTTCTGTGGCGCTCATGGTACTGAAGAGAGTGAAAGTTTGATTAATTCTATTATACCCGTTAGGCTTAGGTGGGAATTATCACAAATTTATGACACTATAGAAAAGGTTTTATCAGTTGTTAAGTGATTACTGTCACAAAAAAAATGATTGTTTGATAATAACGTTGTCTATTGAACTGTCGCCATGATCATTAACTATTCTTACATAATACGTTGGCAGATATGCTTTGTTTGAAGAAAGGTACAATATTTACTTTATCAGCAAATGTTTTGATAACAAACTGAGTATAAGAAGGCAATAAGACGGCAGCTGATGGGAAGTTATAAGGTTTATTTGAAGGGACTATATTAGGCGCTGTACTCATATTAGTGTATCGGGAGTCCTTTCTTTTAATTAAGGATTGTCTGCCATGTAATGAAAACAGGAATCTTGTAAAACAAATATGTATAAACACACTCTCTCGATTTTCCAAGTAATGTGGATGAAAGCAAACAAACCGAAGTTTTATTCAGTGAGATTAACTCCACTCATAGACTTCGGTAAATATTGTATAGAAGAACATTTGTATTGTATTTTCTTATATGAAAATGGAATTGTAGCCCAGCTATACTTTTATGCAATTGCCAAAATAGAATTGCGCTCAGACCGAGGTGTCATTCCTCAGGACATTAATCATTTGGATGCCATGTCAAACATTCGTGTGGTCGTAAAACGGTGGCCGCCCTCAACTACCACTTTCACCACACAATTCTCCTCGTCTCTTATGTGGCCTCTATTCCATATTCCCTTGGAACAGTAGTCGATTTTAATAGGATATGGGCGAGTCGTCGAGAGAGATTGGGAGCCATAAAAATTTGATGAAAAGCCTAAGAGTTCGATCTGGAATGAATTGAATTGTTGGCGTTTCAATATAGAGGAACGCTTTTGGCATTTCCTTGTGTAAGCTATTAGGATAACAACATCGTTGCACGTATTCCGGGTATTTTCCCTCTGATCTCATACTCAAAATGCCTCATAAAGCTTTTGATTTGTTTCCACACGCCAGCAAACAATGCTTAATATTTTAATTAAAACGATGAATGCTAATTTGATGGGACAATTGAATGTCGATTCAATAGGTAATTAATGAACTATTAGTTTCTATGTTTTCGTGTGTTGTGGCTTGTTATCATTATAGTTTTGTGTTGAAGCATTTGAAACTCGCGAACTCGTGCACGCCACAATTTTTAATGCAAACAAGTATAATCCTCATTCACACCAGTTAATGTGTAGTGGCAAGTTCAGGGAGAATTGTTGGAAGGAATTCCAAATGGTATTTTCCATCTGATAACTTTTTTCGTGTCTGCTTTTGTTCAACATTCAAGAATCATGCCACTATTTGCGTTTATGAGAATTTCCTGAACCGTTTTCTTTCTATGTACTCTGTTGAAGTTACTCATATGCGACAAATCCGTAATATGTCTCAAGTGTTTCTTCATTTAGGAAATTACCCATGAAATGACCGAAAAAGTAAGTGCCATAGCTTACGTCCTGCTACACAACTTGAGCTTAAGATGGAAAGCTTTGTCATGTAGGTACGAAGATACAGTATCATGTGCTGCAAATGGAAAACACATTTTCCTTCTATAATACTGTAGACATAAAAAAAAATCAAAAGTGTGATCAAGTAGAATTTAATTTTATCAAAATTCTGAGGGTCTTTCATGGATGAGATTGCAGTGCGCTGTAACAAAGGAGTATTTAATTTGAAACATCTTTATTACATTTCTTGAGCATTTACTTAAAATTCTTTCTTCCTTCCTCTCTCGTCTTGCAGATTTTAACGGGGATGGAAAGCCTGACAACATCACCTTCATGATCAAGCGAATAAAGGTGCACAATACACATGCACTGAAGGATCCAACTTATCGATTCCCGGGAAACTATGGCGTGGAGAAGTTTCTGGAGTTATTTTCAGGTGAGTGAATTTGTGAGATGTTGTGCACAACTTCATGTGTTGAAGAAGGAACTTTCGTATGTGGGAATTAGATGCTTTATGCTGATGTACGCCAAACGCTGATCCCCACCGAAATGCTCCATCACTTGGAGTGTTTCGTGAACCACGTCCGTAATTTGAGGGGTGTCGTCAATATGGTCGCAAATTTGAGCTTTCACGCAGCAATATTGATTGAGTTGTGGCAGAAATGCATTGTAGTGTCGCACAAGAACTTCTCCAACACATGGACCTGCATTGGAAAAGCATTACAACCGCAATTATCAATTAACTTTGCAGATTATGGGGTTTATGAGTTAAATCGCATTTGGCAGTGCAGTGAACTCTGAAATGCGACTCTGGTTAGAATGTTCGGTTCAAAATTAACATTTCACCACCTTTTCCATCTCTCACGCTGGGCTTGTTTTGGCCATCTGACTCATTAGTTGTTATTCAGAATGGTGGAGTCATTTGCGATTCTAATGTCATGAATTTTGAGGGAGAAAGTAATACAATTTGGTCAGTCATTATAAAGCCATGTTTAGAATAAATATTTGACGCTGTCGACCGCAAATTCGCAGAGAATTGTAAATTAAACAAACGCACAGAGTGAATTGGTAGAGAAGATTAACTTCAAAAGCGCCGCAGTAAAATGTGATTGTGTGAAATTGTAATATGATCTGTATGATTGTAACTCTTGCAACTCTGTATATTTTGCCAATCGTCATATCGCATATGGAGCCATAATAGATAAACAATATAATAATGTGAGTGAATTTATTATGTGAAAATTTCCATTCGCAACAGTTGAAAGTCATCTGCGTGTAATGATCTCTCTAAAGCATAAGTGATAATTTGTCCTGCGAAAAGCTGGTCAAAAACATTGTGCCAAAGTTTCACATGCAGACTTCCAGAGATGATTCCAAACAAAAGGATGTGTGAGCGTATAAACTCGGCATATGGGAGATTATTTTCTAATATAATTACGCCAGAATGAAAGGAACTTTTCACAGATGTTGGTTTCGTGCCACCATCTCATTGCCGTGCGGGTGGAATGGGTGGAGAGACACAAAGGAAATAAGATAATGCGCCACCTCATTCGCCATCGGGTCCCATTTTGAGGCGAATAAAGTACGTTAATAAGTTGCAGGGTAGTAAATTTCATCACATCCAACCACCAACTGTGAACCTCTAATCCACTCCAAAGCGTTAAGGCATAATCCGTTTTTCGCTAAACATCTCCCGCGCCATTCCGGCGCAAATAACAAAAGGTTTAATGATTCCCAGAAAGTGGCGCACCAGCGTGAGAGGGAGAGGGAAAAGAATGAAATTAAAACAATTAAGTTGTTTGAACTTTATAAAAGTACCCTTTTTAACTATTCGCTGAATGGCTCTCAGTGTGGCGACAATGACTTCTTGTTTTCTTGTTTTTAATGCCCGTTTAATTGGGACGATTAATGAAGGGATGATGGTGAAAATCTACAAGAATGCAGAGGAAAAGGCGAGGGTTAAAATGTACAAGCTGAGGATTGAAAATTAGTGAAAAGCACTACAAAGTTTGTGAAGGGTTGAAAGCTCATGCCTGAAATGGTTACATAAACATTTCCATGTGTCTACATTATTTCCTATACAATATATAAGCAGACCTAACTCAAAATTGTTGATTGAAGAGTTGGCTTTACTGGAAAGTCTCCTGTTTGCTAATTAGTTTTAATGAATTAGTTCAACAAACATTCCACACTGCCTCACACCCTTCTTGATACATTGATGTACTTATGAAATTAGTTTTGTTTATATGCAGAATAATTTTGCCCGATTTCTACATGATAACTTATCGTATTTCGCGTATTTCAATTAGTTGTATGAATGTACTGTAAATTTTTAATTAATTTCCAATTTCAATTGACATTTGGGCAAAATATTTCCACTTCAATATTTTATTTTCCCTAATTTGCATACGAATACAAATATATGTCCATATTACCTATAAATGATTGAGTTTTTAATATATTGCAATAATATTTAATTATGATGAATAAAATGGAGGGCAAAACGTGGCAATAAACAGGAATTCCACGAGCTTATGAATATCTCTCCTGGGAAAACTGACGAGTAGCCACTCGAGAGAGTTTTGTGCTTTATAAACAGACTTACTTTTGGTCCTGTGATATCTATCAGGGCATTCAAACCGTTTTGGGCCATTCTTCGAAAATTAGAATCACAGTCGCGAAGCCTGAAATAAAATTAAGTGTAAATGTATGTAATCTCAGTCTTTAAGCTATTGAATCTGAAGTACTGTTTATTCTTTTCAAGACATTGCGATTCAAAGATCTCGTGTTGTGTTTTTATCTGGATTTCTTTGGTCTTCTCCGCAGCTTCATGAATTGAAAATTTGTGGAAAATTTTACTCGAGTGTGCTTTTTGAGATGGAGAATGGAGAAGGATGGAATGTCAGTGAATGTCTTGAGGGAAGATTTTCCCATCATATTCATCGGTATACTTTTTGCCATAAGTTTGCCATGTGTCTCTAACCTATCAACTTAATACATCATTTTCGCAGCACGACGTGTAAAATCCGTCTATTAAGTGAAATTTTCTTGTGGAAAATAGAAAAACACAACTGTACTCACCCATCGAAGAAGATTGGCAAATACTGAAGGTAGAAGTTGCAATCCCATCGAGATTCCTGACACTTTCCGACAGATTGAGGCTTTCTCTGCGACAGACGATCGTTGGCCATCAATGGCAATTTCGATAAAATATTGTTCTCGTCTATGAGTTTGCGAAAAGCATACGATGGAGTTGGTGGCACTGAGTGAATTTTCAATCTAAAGAGAGAGATACGGTATAAAAAATTAGTCAATAAACAAGAATTTTTCATTTTCACACAACTGAGAGAAAGCGGGCAAAGGGTGGACCATCGAGGGTGCTTTGATGGAATTATTGGGTGAAATCGAACAGAGCGGATCCCTGCCATTGTGGTTGAGAGAGAGAGAGAGAGCTTATAAGAAGTGTGGAGAAAAAGATAAAGTTGAGCCTTTTATGGGCACCACTCAATCTCTTGTGGGAAGATTGTTTCACTATAGCGCAGCCACTTTTTCTTTGATCCAACCCGTGAAGGCTGCGAAGCTGAAAATTTTCATTAATTTAATTCTTCTAGACACTCATAATGGCAACACTTTCCTAGACCTCTACACGAGGGTTGAAACGATTTTTTTCCATCTCCCACTCTTGTCTTAGAGAAGGAGAGAAAGAGAGCGTGAGCCGTCCAGAGAGGATTTGCCTCGCATAGTCGCGAAACTGTGTGCTGAGGAATAAAAGAGTGCTGCTTCATGGTATCATCAAAATGACGAAGCGTAAAGTTGCTAAAAGTGGGATGCCGTTGAGGAGAAAATGTGTGAAAAAGCTTTGTGCGGAACATTGGGGAATTTTATGTTTTTTACTTGGGTGTTTTTTTCCCTTGCATTATTCCCCTCTTAATATCCCCGGTGGAAATGGAGAAATGGCAAGAAGACCTACTTGGGAGGTGGTAAAACTTTGGTGTCTGGTCGAAGAGCTTCTCGGGTGAAAGGTTGAACAATTCGTTGAGCTTTTCTCACACCCATAATTTCACTTTTTTTCATTCAACGATGAGGATAGGAGTTTCTTTGTTGGGAATCAAACAGCACATGTACACAAAATTTATCATAAATTTTTCAACACGAACAATTTTGACAATTTTCCTCAAATATGAATTCTCAGTGATGCAAATATATGTATGTATAACTTTATCCTGATAGAGGAATTTTCACCACCATTTCGTCACGTTTTTTCCCCCGTATACAATTTTAATACAATTTTCTTTTGTTGGCTATATTTTACGCAGTCGCGAGAAAAACGTACTAGGATTTATAATTCAATTTTCAATGTGTGCAATTCTTGTTTTATATTTGCAGAGGAAGATTACGATGCATTCTGTCTGGCGTACATGTTCACTTATCGGGATTTTGAGATGGGAACACTTGGCTTAGCGTGGACGGGAGATCTGAAAAATGCTGGCGGAGTCTGCGAGAAGAATGGGGTAAGTTTAGTTGCACGTTTTCACTTTAAATTTAATTTTTGATCACTTCTCCTGCCAATAACCATAACTTTTGGGCGTGTGAATTCAATATTGAATCGTTAAAGTATTTTATCAAGAATATAGGAGGCAATAATTAGGTTGAAACTGCGAGATTCAGTGCCAAAAATTCTATTCAAAGATACTATTTCTTGCTGATATCTGCTTATATTGATTTATCCCTGCAGGAATGATTCACCGCAATGTTTACACGAGAAATTTTCGTTCATCTTGATTTGGCAGAAAGCAAACAAATGCTGAATTCATTGATGTATTGTAAATGGCGTGCAATTTATCAGCGAGAGAGAAAAATTAAAATAAAATGCAAATGGTCTCGTGATTTGCACAAACGCTAGCACGAATCGGTGTGCATCTGCGAGGCAGAAAAATTGCCATGGCCAATGTGCGGTTCAATTGATGAAAATTAATGCACCATCGTGGATATTGTATAATTATCACGTAAAGGCATAAACATAATGCCCAAGGAGAGAATAAGATGGCAATTTATCGGCAGCGAGGGTGGAGGAATGAGAGGAATGATCGCCTAAGAAGGGGGGATTTATTTTATTGGAATTCCATGAAATATTAATGCCACAATAATTAATATAACTTCCCCGATGGGCAAATAAGTGAGTGTGTGCGGATTGGTTTTGTTATCTCCCGATGACTAATCACTGTACGCCATCCTCCATCTGGCCACCAATGTGCAATATATTATATTCCAAGTCCAGGGCAGATTATCTTCAATGGCAGAATTGTTCAACCCAAAAGCAAATTAATAGGAAACTTTGAGAAATCTCACTTAAGCTTTCGCCTATGAGAATGTCTTTCTCAGTTATGTCGAAGAACTAATCCTGTCCGAACTTCCCCTCCAATCCCCTTCATATCGTCTGATGTTGTCTATGAGGTATTTTATGTGGTTTAACTAAAATTGTTCATCGTATATATTTTGAAATAAAATTGCTGTCTCAATTGTGAATATGAATTATTCCATTTGAAGGCAATTTGAGAACTCGAGGACATAAAGAATGCAAAATTATTCTCGCCTCATAGGCAAACTCCATAAAAATCCGATTACGAAATTTATGACCGCTACAATATATTTTATTGGACACCTTGCAAGTTCCATCATACTTTATTTATCATACTTATTTACATCAGTTGCTTGTGATTCAAAGGGAAACCCTTCTTAAATTAAATTTGTGTCAATAACTGACTAAGTGAAGGCCACAATTTTTCCATTTATATACTCCTCGCACAAGTGAGAAGGGAAAAATGATAGTGCAATGTAATTACCTGCAAAAATGAATAATTCGACCATTTATTTCGCATCTTTTTATCGTGGATGCAACATACAGTGGCGTAATATCGCACTTTTAGAAGCATATATCATTAACTTTTATCTCCCAGTGAAGACGCATTGTGCTACTGTTCACGAAATAAACAAGACTAATTAATTTTAATCAAGACAAGAAGACCCTGCCTCGGAGCAATTTCACTATATACTGCAGATTCATAACTCTAGTACAGATTTATTATCTCGTTACATTTTTCCTCGCACTTTTGGGTTAGAATTAAATTACATTGCTCTGTGTTTTTGTTTTCACTCAAAGAGCGACATTAAAACGGTGTGATGGTCTTCCGCAGGAGTAACTCTACCATAGCTGTGGCGCTTCCTTAAAGCCACGCCGAGAGTGATTCAATTTAATAGAGTCTGTTGCGTTACCTGGAATGCCACGCTCTTCTGACATGGCAGAAAGCTTTCACCTATTTTCGGTCAGATTTACAGCTTTCATATTCCCAGAACGAGCATGAAAAATGATGCTAGGTCCAGCCAGAAGGTGAATCCATGGTCGAATTCTGGGGGTGGGCGTTAGCAAGCGAACCGTAGAGAGATGCTTGGCAATGTTAATGTCAGCAAATTCGTATTTCTCGGGTTGCAAACATCGTAAAAGTCACAATTAGGCGATAAAAATCAACTTTATCCCAAACGCTTGTACACACTACCTTCATGCTTTCAATTGCTCGCCTGCCAGAGGGCTAGATAGTAGCAATACTGGATATATCGTGGGTGATTTGGCTGAATGCAGAAAGTATGTTGTACTTGTAGTTCGTGCTTGCTGCTAAAACTCTCATTATGTGGTTTTTGTGGTGGAAAAAGTCGTCTCTTCATAAATTCCATTATTATACCATCTCTCGGGCACGAAGGTGGGAAGATATTGCTGGTTATGACGGTCTTAACTCCAATCTTCCACAGTATCTCAGGAAGTTATTGCACTTAATTGAATTTAAATGAGGAAATTACAAATATTCGTGGCTATCAATTAAATCGGTGTACATGGAAATTATTTTTAAGGATACTTTGGAACGTGCCACGTTGGAATTACTGCAATTAGGATCGCTGAACGTCATAAAGGTGCTTCGGAAGGGGGAAAAGGACTTTTCGGGAAATTGGAGCTACGAACAGGAGTTCCGAAAGCCTTCTGGGAATTATCTTTTTCATATTTCTGGACGCCACATTATGAAATGTATTACATTTTCACATGTTCATGTCAAATCGCACTCAAAAATTGATTGTTAAGTAATAATCTGTTAATTTCCCATTCCAAATATTGCGCTTTAGTACGGAAAGTTATCCTTTAATTAGGAAACTACGCGAAACTATACATATGTCTGTAGATATTGTGGTTGGAGTATTGCTAAACTTTCCGACATGTAGTATCGAAGCACACATACCACTTACAAGTAAAAGGATAATTGCAACTTGTCCAATGTTTAAGAAAACTTTCTATATGTATTTCCCCTATGAGTTCAATTTACTTCACTTGGAGATTCATAATTGCTTTCTTGTGAAATATCTCACATATTGCGTGTATTTTGTTTTATTACAAACAACCCCCTTGAAGGAAACTTGAATGTGATACATATTTCGGCAACAGGTGTGCTGGATTTTTTCCTTCACAAAACACAGTGACATTTACAAAATCGTTTTCTGTATTTCACAACTTGTACACAATTGTGCGAGAAAGAACAGTGAAAATATGCTATACTTCCGATACTTCCCTTATAATTTTAATTTTTCTGCTCTTTGTTAAAAATATTCATTTGTATGCATGTAGATAATTTTGTTAAAGCAAATTTCCGCCTTGTCCGTGAATGTGGCGAATGAGGGAGGACAAAGAAAGGGAAATTTTCATTATTTCTTTGGGAATGTTTTATGTCTGTACATGTAAGAGAGAGGGGCGGAGGATAAAAGTTTGTATTCTTACAAAAGGAATTTGTTTTAACTCAGTCCCCGAGGGGATGTTGAGCATTTGCTTCACATTCGTCTAAAAGAATTGTAAATTGTGTGAAAAGGTGTGTACATACATACATAATGTACATATATAGCTGAAAGACATTTATACGGAGGAAAACAGGGTAGGGCTTTCACCGGGTATGAAAATACGCGTCTATATAGTGTAAGTGTAACACCATGGTGTAACACAGTTGTTATGGAGCCCGAAGGGTGGTAGAAGAAGAGGAACAGGAAAACGAGAGGAAGGTTAGAAAACTTATAAAACTTACCACGTTTCCACAATCGATAACTCAATGCTCCACCACAAATAATAAGCACGGTGGAACTCAGAATATTTCTTATCTTCCAAGTACAATTTCGGCCCAGGAATCTTCCCAAACTCATTCAATATCCCTTGTTTAACTTTGCTGTGCTCGAGGTGACCTGAAATTGTCTAGAAAATAGTTCATTCTGTGAGAATGCCATTTGGAGTGAATGGATGAGTTGAATGTAAGAAGTTTTTCGAATTCTCCCTCCTAAATTAAACGATTCTCTTCGGTGAGAACTATATATCAGTCATAGAATATAAATCGATTTTTATCAGATCTTCAATTAAGGTCTCATTCGGTCTTCTGTATTCAATTAATGTGGTAAAATATGCGAAATGCTTTGAGATTGGTGGTGTATTTAATCCCTTGTCTACTTCTCATGAGATTAAGTTTTCAGAAATAATCCACTTAATTCAACTTAATTAATAATCTTCGCTGAGTCAATAGAATTGACGCAATTAGTTTGGAATTTGATTGTGGGGAATTTTCATAGCAGTCTCGAAGAACCCTTTTAGTGATATTAATCATGGCTGCACACTTCGTCATGGCTCAATTCATACCGGGAGGAAAGGCAATTGCTGCAAATAGAGTTAGGTCATATCTTCTTGCTTCTCCTCAGTTATTACATTCATACCATTATGAATTGCTATCTCATGAAAGCTCCAATCTTGAGATGAGTTATAACTATACTTGAGAATTTCACAGTGGAATGGAATGTCATTTCTCGCATATTTAATATTTGTGAGTTTATTTTGGATAAATATGCATCATCTCAACAAGCGGAATGCTTTTACTTAGATTGCGGAGCCATTGTAGCGTATTTGTGACCTGTATGACTTCGCCTAAGAATCTACTTAATGTCAAAGTTTTACAAGAATACTTCAAAAGACTCTTGAGGGGTTTTATTCGTCCCCAAGGAGTTGAACGTGAAGTAGAATTTTCTAAATATTCAAGAGAGTTCTCCATGCTGTTCCTGGTATTCTAAAGTGCACATCCATTGCCCGTGGAAACAGTTTTGTTTTTCATTTTATCAATATGAAGCGAGAGCTGCGGAAGGGGGCGAGTAGTTGGAATACGTAGTATGAGGGAGGCTGGGGATTTATATATCAATAGCAGTGGGTGATATTCCCACAAATAGAGTGGAATATTGTCGTTTCTGGGGAGTTCGGGCCTCTCGAGGGTCGGGGAGCTACAGCGGAGTTTGTCCCTCGCATTTGGAACGTTGGATTGTATTGTGAAACTGAAATGTACATAGTATATGTATGATTGCTAGTTGGTTTGTTTTTGAAGTGTCTCAGTTATGTCTCTACATTCCACGTTCATATCAAATGTGTTGTCCTGTTCGTGCTCGTGCGAATGTTCTGGGCTGGATCGCAGAGTGGTAAGGCACATATAGAGTCCCCTTGAATGGTGAGCAGTTCGTTTAAATAATATTGATTATTGTCAGCCTGTGATGGTTCAGCCCCTTGCCAGGGGTGTTTCCCTAAATTTCCCAACATTCAGAAATAACTGCTGGCGCTGATGTTGCCATTCTCTACTTAATATTGAGTGAGGATAGAATGTGTATGTAATAAAATGGCAAAGGTTTCCTGTGGAATCTTTTTTAAGAAGAGACTTCTTCGTTTTTCGCCTCACATCTTCCCAAACTTCACTCTCCCCTGCAATCTCTAAACATGGAAATGAATTTGATCCCTGTTCCATGTATACTGTTCATTCTAGTTAATGGGAAGACACGAGTCCATTTATTTCCTCCGCCCCATCTCCACCCTCTTCTCATTTCACGTTTGGGTATTATTGCTTAATCTCACACCTGCTGTGCAGAATGATCAATACTATAACTGGTTGAGATTAATAGGAATTGATTTATTGAAGTGAAAGTCTAAAAGTTGCATTGGATTTGCAAGAACAACTTGTATTTGCGTACGGCTATGCTATGATTTAGATTCAAGACAAGACGGACATTGCAGAGTGTGAGGTCTTTTATCTTCTCAGCCATCCTTGAAATTCGTCGCAAAAATTTTCACGGAGGGTGGATTTAAATTATAAAGTCGAAATAGCATAAAATCACTTTACATTTAAGTAGGTGAAGAGACGCAGAAGTTTTTCCGACAGTGTGATATTGAGCAGAGCAAAGCTTTTACAAAAATATCTTCATTAAATAGATGAGAAGTGCCAACATTCTCTCTAATTTGCTCTATAGAACTCCTCGAATAACAATAATAATACTTATAGTGGTTTTAAATTATGCAAACAAATGAATAATTTATAAACCATGGAGGAGAAATTAAATTAACTCTGAGACACGTTCCACATATTATCAATGTTTTATAATATGGATTTTTGGCACCACCATATGTAATTCCCTTGAAAGGTCAAATTTGATGTTTGTATTGTGCGCAGTCAGAGGATCATTAATGTTGCAGTGTTAATTAAATTTGTGTGACAGGTAATGAAACAGCAAAAATTACCATCAATTTAATTATACGCATGATATTTTTGCTGATTTCCCCAAATGTTCTTTCTATTGTTACAGTGAAAATTATGTGATATTGAATAAATGTAGGTCTATTTGTTTAAATATTCAAGAATTCAATTATCTCTTATTCGTCCATATTTATACAATTTATTACAATTTTGCTCATCTCATCATATCCTTTCTTGATTGCAATTTCCCTAAAAGTGTCACGTTTCAAATACCACCACCTATTCCATAGATGAGAGGGAGAAAAGATGTGAGGATCAGTAATGAGGTATTTTGTATGTCGTGTTGGAAATTATTTTACAGATAAGGAAAGAGAGAGAGAGAGAGAGAGAGATATTCGAAAAAATATGCGTGGATATGTATTTTGGAAAATTTTTATTACAGAGAAGTGTTCGGGTGAAATCAAATGGGAGAAAGGATTTTCATATACATAATGTGTATAATTTTGGCACAAACGGAAAGTAAATTGAAACATTTTCATACTCTCAATTGTACTGAATAATACATTTTGCAGATGAGATTTTGTGTTGGCATTATATGTGATGGCCACAGAGGGTATGTTTGGTAAATAGGGAAGAAAGAGCAGAAGTTGTGCAGAAAGCCCTGGTGAAAAAAGCTCATAATTCCAGTCTATGTAAACGATGAAGAATAACCTTTCATATGAGGAAAAATCCCGGAGAGACAAATTATGTCACTGTAAGTCTTGTTTACTTTTGCTACACAACAGAAGAAGCGGAAGTCATCTTGCGTCCATCCTTGATCAAACAAAGGGATGTATAGTTTTTCTCCATGCGAGGTGTGTGTTTGTGTCTTTTTCACAGAGATTTCTCTCCTCTCTGCTGTGTGACATGGGGAACAGCACACGGATGGATGGCTAGTGTTTGAGGGAAAGTCAACAAGATAGAAGTAGTCGGATTAGGATGTAAAGGGAAAAAATAATTTGCTGTATTTTCACTTCATACACCAATCCCCATATAATTAATGGCTATTCTTCCGGACACCCCAGCAAGTGGTACACAATAATGGAGGGAGGAAAAAATGTCCTGATAAGCAGATTTAGCTTATGGCTGTGATGATTTTTGTACTTCAATATGGGTGGTCTTAAATCAGAAGAGAAAAGTTTTTCCGTAAATATTTTGGTTTCACAACACATATTACTTATTCTGATTTACAAAATGCATTCAAAATGCAAAAGAAAATGCATTTCATCTTCAATGTGAGTCAATATCTGCGAATTCTGGTTAAATAATCACAACCGGCGTAAAGCATCATGACATAAATACTCTTGTTTTGTGGAAAAAAGGCTGCAAAGGGATACACAACACATTTTAAATTACTTCATTATTATTTGTGGTGTGGCATGTGTCGTTTAAAAATTAAAGCAACAATTTCCCGTTTTGTAATTACAATTAGCAAGTACAGAAAGTGCAAAGCAAAATGGGAATTGTTAATATCAGTTATATTGTTGATAATCAAATTCTACCGTATATGTGCTCAAGTTTCATCATTTTGGAGTCATTTCATGTTACTTTTCATTTCATAATGTGATATGTTATGTATGACTCTCTGTCTTCCTCACTCTATCTTCTGGCAGATTCTCACACAATGTGTGGGCGGAAGTAGAAAAAGGAGACGATGAGAGATTCCACTGTAACAACCGACCGACCAAATAACTACATGCCATTCCAGCATTTCTGTTGATTTTCCTTGTGTGGGTGTGGGTGTGTGTGTCCTTTGTGGCGAGAATTTACTTGACAACATATTTACACCCAACATTGTTTCCCATTTACCCAAAACTCTGAATAGATGTCACACAGTCAAGGAGGGATGATTCTCTAATTAAAGTCCATATGATGATGAAGATTGCTGACTTCAGCACTTTGCCCCACCCATTCGACATCTGCCAGCTGAAATTTTCCGAAGAATATGGAAATAAATTCGCGATTTAAAATTTCACGAGTGAAATAGCAGCATGAGGAACTTTATGGGAGTAGATCGCTTACAGTCTGCAAAGCTCTCGCCAACTTTCGGGAGTCATAAAGTGGTCTATCTTGGGAGAAGCTCTATGTTCCCGTACTTTGGAATGCTGAAACTGAATCTTACATGGTGGAAGCATTTAATGTTCCACCTATCTATAATATCACCTCCTACAGTTTGGTGCGCCGTGCAGTGGAAAATTATTTGTGGGGTGGAAGACAAAAGCTCCTCACATGTGTGGCACGCTTGGGAGGGCTGAACTACTCCATACTCACTCTATGCATCATAAGCATAAGAGGCAAGGCTGTCCATTATGCTGTAAAGTTGAGGAATGCCAAAGTTTAGTAAATTGCACGTGCTTAAAATAACTAACTGCACATTACAATCCCCGTTGACTGTCGTTATATGGCCGTAAGAACAACACTTCCAAACATAATATTACGCCAACGTGTATGCGGGTGCAATTGCATTTAATTTTGTTTTCCTTCATTGTGCTTTCATATTGTTTCAAAGTTGACAATTAATATTGACTGCCAGAGGATTTGTCTCTTTGTGACGGAAATCTGCGGGAATCTTTCTATGGGAATTATGTATACATGTGTTATAGAAATTGTGCTTTCGAGCTTCAACAATAATTCCGCAGCTGGAATTGGATCTCGTAAGCTTTTGCCAGAACAAAGGTAATGTGAATTCACAAGCCCCGGGAGTATCACATTGAATAAATAAATGTGGTGTGAAATTCAAATCAAAATTTGTTTATTAAAAATTAAATGCATAAATTTTAATATAGCAATTTTGTCTAGAATGTGAAGTTCTGTTGTTATTGAAAATGAGATGTAATGGAAAGTTTCAACCCCTTTTTTGTGAAAGAGAGTGGAGTCAACATAGTGCTAATACATGTTGTTTTCTAATTGGTACACTTTTTCTCTGTCTTGCAGCATTATCGTGGTTCACTGAAGTCACTGAACACAGGCATTGTGACACTGCTGAATTATGGAAAGCACGTTCCACCCGCTGTATCCCACGTCACATTGGCCCATGAGATTGGCCACAATTTTGGCTCTCCGGTAGGTGAATTTATGCACATGACATTAATGCGAAAAGAGTGCCCATTTGTTGGTATTACCCCGAGCTAGTGAGGTGGCGTAAAAAAACATATACGGGCGATGCGTGGAGAAGTGGACTTTGGTGCAATGGAATATTAATTTAGTGATATTGTTCAATTATTGAGGCATTCCTCAGGCGAGATGGTTTCCCATAAAACTACATTATTGCTGTGCTTTATGCACGGTATTTGTTTGAATTGGTGAGGAGTTTAATTACACGCTTCGTCTCCAATTGCTCTACTAATTGGTGAATAATTCGTGTGTTGAGGCACATAAGCATCCCTCACTATACAATATGATGCCTTTCTCTACGTCTTTATCACTGTTTGTATCTGATATGGAAGACTACAAATTAATTAGGCGCCCCTCCCCCCCCCCCCCTCTGATAGGCCCACGCCCTAGTAAATATTTAAAGAGGATGCATCGATATATTCTAGTCAGTCTGTGGGTGAAATTGATTAATTAGATGATTATGCTAATGGTGTAGTTAATGCATAATATTGATGATCCGAATTACACTCAATTGAATTTCAGTGTGAAAGTGTGTAAAATTAAGATGCCAATAAGGGATGTTTGGAGAAAGGTCTTTGTTTTTCACTCTAAATCCTTCAAATTTTGTTTAAAGATTCATCATTCCAAAAATTTATTACCGCTGTAATTCTGATGGAAAATATACGCTATAGTTTCGTTTAGGAGGATATGAAAGCAGTGAAATTTATATTCAATAAATCCCTCTTTAATGCTAGGAGACATTCCCATGCTAAATTGCTGTGGGATGCAAAATGTAGCCCATATGAAATTTATTAAGAGTCTTTAATAAATATTTCAGCATGATCCAGAACAATGTACGCCGGGTGGAGAAGATGGAAATTATATTATGTTCGCGAGGGCCACATCCGGCGATAAGCGGAATAACAATAAATTCTCCCCGTGCTCGCTGAAGGCTATAGAGCCAGTGTTGAACGCCAAAGCGCGCAGCGCCAAGGGATGCTTTACCGGTGAGTTGACCTGATGTCTTTGCGACGATAATTACTTATGGCATGCATTTTTCAATTCGCAGAACCACAAGCGTCCATATGTGGCAATGGCGTGGTGGAGGATGGCGAGGAGTGTGACTGCGGCTGGGAGGAGGATTGCAAAGACAAGTGCTGCTATCCCATGTCTCGCCATCCTAGTATTGACGAGAAGCCGTGCACGCTGACGCCACGGGCGCTGTGCAGCCCATCTCAGGGCCCGTGCTGCACCGTGGGTTGCACTCTCAAGTTAGGTGACAAGTGCCGCGATGACAACGGCTGTCGTGATCCCAGCTTCTGTGATGGGCGGATGCCACAGTGTCCGCCGTCGGTCAACAAGCCGAACAAGACAATCTGCAACAAGGAGTTCGTGTGCTACATGGGCGAGTGCACGGGATCCATTTGCCTGGCCTACGGTCTGGAGTCGTGCCAGTGCATCCCGGGGCCCTCGGATCCCACCACGAAGTCCTGCGAGCTGTGCTGCAAAGTTCCGGGCGAGAACAACATCTGCAAGAGCTCCTTCCTTTGGAATGAACCACCATACGACGTGCCCGACATGTTTGCCAAACCAGGCACTCCATGCAATGACTACAATGGATACTGTGACGTGTTCCAGAAGTGCCGTGAAGTGGATCCCTCCGGACCGCTGGCCACGCTGCGGAAACTCCTGCTGTCGGACGAGAGCATAGCCTCGTTCAAGAAGTGGGTTCAATCTAATTGGTACACAGTGGTGCTCATCATTATTGCCATTCTGGTGCTCCTGGTGAGTTCAGCCTTTCCTTAATTGCCCTTTTCCCCGATCGGCCGAATTAAGACATTCTCTAATTGGTTCTTAAGCAACCTGCCTCACAAATATTAGGATTTCTCATTATATCGCACAAACGAAGGCATTATTATTAAACTTCAATGAACCGCTGGAGTGTCTCAACGGGGGGAGCTCAGGTACAAAATGAGAATGACATGAATTACATGGGAATTACCGTAGAATTCTTCGTAACTCATGACAGCTTATTAAGAAAGATCAAAACATACTTTCACAGGCAGTCTCATTAATACCTCAGATTTTCACTCTTGCGTTAATTTTCCATTACAATGAATAAATTAATGATATACACTGTGACAAAGACGTGCGCACAGACTCTTAATTCACTGACACACTTACTGGCAGTCGGGTTGTTTTATGTTGAGTGATTAAAAGTAAACATGATTGCCTATACAGTTTAGGTATTGTTCTCTCAACGCTTTGTCTCAGACAACTCTCAGATTAATTTGGGTTGCATCTGTAAGTTCACTTTATGGGGAAATATCAAAATCACTTGATGAAAGTTCTGTACATAATTATTTGACATGTATTCAGAGTAATTCAAACGACTTGCAGAACCTTCCTTCGTTGACAAAACAGTTGACAAAGTTATAAATGAGAAAAACTCTCTGGGTTTGATAACCACCCAAGGCAGGATTTGATTAACTTTTCCGAACAGACGCTTTTCTTCAACATTTCATTTCCATTTCTTATTTTACGTTTTAATAATTTCGCTTCTATTGGCGACGGGCCAAAAAATGCAGAAGAGGTATGATAAGTGGACGAAGGAAACGGCATCAGCCGGTGACTTTAGTTGTAAGTGTGTTGTCTGCGAGAACCCCCTCCTTAAGCCGCTTGGTAATTGGTGCTAGACTCGCAATCGCACTGGCGCATCATTTTCCTCCAATTTCATCCTCAAATTTTACCCCTGGGAAAGAGAGTGGCATTGCATTCGAGTGGCACTGCAATATTTGTATCTCATTTGCGCGGAATCGTCTCTTAAACTCGTAGCTTTATGCTGCTGTGAGGTGGCGTAATGTAATCATCCTACCCAAATTAATAGTACATACATACATACATACAGAATTTGGCGCTAGTGCTCAACGGAGGGCTTTTTGTGGGTCGATGACGGTGCAAAATACATACATAATACATCTTGAACACTTGAGCTTTTATATCAGTCTTATATTTCAACCGTGGGCTCGGGAGTGACTTGAAACTTAAATCGCATCATGGAGAAATTGAGTATTTTGGCTCATCCCGTTTGGCATTTTTCTCGGGAGGGAGGGAGAATGGGTTTAATGCCACGAGAGTGGGTGGGAGATGAAATGAAAATTTTACACTCTCCATCTGCACATGTGAATTGAGGAGTAGTAGAAATGCATTTCAGCAGTGGTGGGAAGGAAATTGTAAATGCTCTTTTCCATATAATATGTTGCGATTGTGCTTGACAGTGATTAATAGGAGAGTGTTTCCATGAGCTGAATACTCATCTTGCGTTGCGATTTCATTAATCTCTTGCATTTCGTCGTATATTTTATTTTACTTCCAAATTTGCATTGCGATGCACTGGGAAATTGTGGCGAAAGACAAGCACGTGGAGAGTTTTCAGGGAGAATCTTTGCTGGGAGTTGGAATATTTCGCACAACGGAGACAAGAACTGATGTTACGCTTTCTTAGAGTTTTTTTTCGTCTGTAGATTTTGCATGTCACAGCGTTGGTTTGGCGGGGGACAAAAGTAAGACATTAAGTAAAAGATATGACACAAGAAGGGACATTAAAATATTCATGATTTGCACTGCATATTTGAACCATTTATTCTACTCATTTTGCATAATTGGGTCTTCATTGCAGTGCAAAAACTTTTCGTATAATTTTTTATCTCCCCTTCTCTCGACATCCCGAAGGAAGGCCAATAGAGGTGGAGAATTGGGCATGAGTTCGGGAGAGTCAATAAAAGTTTCCTCGCAAAGTATCCACGCGCGAGTGTATTTGCGGGGAGGTTTACAAATGAGAGATGAAGCTGAAATCTCCTTACATTATTATGGAACTTTTCAATGTGTTTGTAATGGAATAATTACATCATCGGAGGAAAAACTATTTTACGAAACTCGCGATGAAATTTCATATTGATAATTTCACCTCTCGTCCACTCTAAATTGGATGGTTTTCATCAACCTGCAACTCTGTGTTGATAACAAGTGAAATTGCATTTAAAAACTCCCTCGGTAAATTCTGTAAATTCTATTTTATGAGACTTGTTGCGATAATGACTTGGACACATTTCATAAACTTTCTGTTTTCGCTCTTCAATGTTACGTGATGAGAGCGTGCAGCGTGCACTTACAGTACTTCATTGGACAGAATAACACGTGCAAATTTGCAAAAACCAAAGTTATTTTGCATTTTCATCAGGCCACTTGTTCATGTGCAAGTCGGCTTGCCACAAATTTGTCATTTCGGGCCGAGGGAACTCTAGTGACCTACACTTACCTTAGCATTTACCAATCACACTTGCTCCATCTTTATGTAATTTTAATGTGAAGAGTTGAAAAACATTTGCAGAACTTCCTTGAACTAGAGTATATGCAGAATCTCAGCTCTGATATAAAATTGTGTCATCCAAGCCACAATTCTAGGCATGAGAAACTTTTCCCATTATATTCGCTAAAATTTGTCTACTCCATTTACTCTCTGACTAGCAAAAACTGTCTTTCCCTACTATGTTAAATTAAATTACCAGAAATGGGAAAAAATACATGGCAAACATGCTGCTAGACACATACATAATAATACAAAGTCCTGAAATATTTCCACCAGTAGGACTATACATTATGTTTTATGGAAACAGCACTTTTTAGTAATTGGTTCAGTACATTTAATTAAAAATGACCCCTCTTTGCTTGTGCAGGTGCTGAGTACGAAGCTGCTGGGCAAGAAGTCGAACCTGAAACTGAAAACAGTGACAATAATACACAGTGCGACAACGGAGACGGTGCGACTGCCGGAGGACAACAACGGCGTGATTGTTCACACGGCCGTGAGGACGAAGGTGCCGCTGAAGAAGAAGGTACGCGGCGAGCGCTCCAAGAAGTCCAAGTTAACAAATCAGGTGGCGGACGGTCAGCCGTCCACGAGCCAAAAGACGAAGCCCAGCAAGAGGGTGGCCAAGAGTCGCGAGAGTCCCAAGAAGGTGATCAAGGCGAAGAAGAAGACGCGCGTGTCAGCGCCTGTGGTGGCGGAGGAGCAGCAACAAAAGCCGCTAGTTACTGAGCTGAGCACGAAGAGGCAGAAGAAGGACAAGAAGACACACAAGGAGATCATTGACTACAGCAACAGGACGGAGAATCACAGCAACACATTCAGCAAGGTGCACAAGTGGCTGCTGGAGTCTCCGATAGTGTCACAGCCAGTCACGCAGGTGCAGCACAGCGGCAAAGTGGCGAATCTCATGAGCAAGAGTCAGTCTACGCCGGAGAGATTGACTCAGAGGTCGCCAAAGAAGACGAAATCTGTGGGAAATCTCAATGACAAGGTGAAACTGCAGGTGGTGTACAAACCTCCGTTCAAGTTCAGCTTGAAGCTGTCGAAGAATCAGTCCGTGAAGACACACGTGATTGGGAATCGGGTGGGAAGGAACGCGAGGAAGGTTGTCGGGAGGATAGATAAGAAACGCGTTGGCGTACTAAATGTTGATCCGGATACAACGAGGAGACGCACAGCCCTGCTCATTCGCACTGAAGAAGTGCCTAAGGAGGAGGAACCAGTGATCAAGGCTCCCAGCGAGCCCAACTATGAGACTGTGGAGGGCGAGGCACCGTTCTATGAGAACGTCAACACGGGTATCAACACTGCCACCTTTCGTGTGGCGAAGAGCTCAAGCGGGGGACATGTGGACAGTCTGAATCGCACTAGCAGCCACAAATCCAACTCCCTGGGCGGCTCCAGTGGCAGCAATACACTTGAGACAACGATGCGGAGTCGAGGAAGATCCGCCATGCGGGGCAGTGCCACGAACTTGAGCATGAAGGACTGGCGTGGAAGTGGGCAGAACCTCACTCGCCACTCTGGGGAGGGACTAATGCGCTCCAGCACCACGAATCTGATGTCGCGATGCCGCGAAGAGGGCAGTCTGGGTCGCGAGAGGAGTCACAGGCTCTCCAGTGGGACTCTGAATATTGATGACGCGTCAATGCAGCGTCGAAGCAGGAAGAATAGCACGGCCAGTGTGGCAAAGGTGCCCATCTCGCGTGCGGCCAGCAACAGCAACCTGAAGATCCCCTCGCTGAGGCGCGGCAGCATCGGGAACATTCCCAGAGCCAGTCTGAATGCCAGCTACACGAGACAGAACTCCCTGCAGGCGCCGCGGAGTTCTGTGCAGGCCTCGGCGAGGCCGCACACTTCTGGTTGTGACGACGCGACGCCCTTCGAGTGGCCGCCGGTGAAGCGGGCCCGAGAAGAGCCTCTGCCGTCGGATCTGGAGGTGATGTGCTCGGACGTGGAGAATCTGGTGCACGATCGATAGAATCGTCTGTCAATTAGGGCGCGCAGGCAATTCCCCCTTGTCAATTGGCAGAAATTGACTGCAAAGTCTGATAATCCCCGGCGGAGCCCTATCATTTGCGGGGCGCGCCGAGGAAAATGAATAGGTTTTGTGTGTTTGCGGACACTCGAGTGACGGGGAGATTTATGTGAGTGGGTGAGTGGTCGTGTGTCCCTCGAAGTGGGAATTATTGGTCCAAATTGCCGCCCACCTCCCCCACGAGGGCAGCCGAGAAGACAGTCCTGACAATCCAATCTTCTCACCCAGTGATTGCGTTTGAAAAATTAATATATCGAGTGGTCGGCGAGGGGCGGAGGAGCAGAGAAGAAGATGAAAATGGAAATTCTAGTAAATGTGCCAATTCATTTCTTTTGTAACTTCTTCCATTAGTCCTATTTTAAGTTTGTCTCTCGGGATCTTCTGGCGTCACTCACTCTATTATTATTATATTGTGCGAATAGGAGAAAAAAAACAGCAAGAAATGCGAAAATGAGCGACAAGAACAACAGTTAAAGTCTCAGTGCGGAAAAAGAACCTGGATTATTTTGAATGCAAAAATCTTCGTGTATGTTTTATTCCAGAGTTTTCGAGTTTTCTCATTAAAACCGCTCTTAATTTGAAGCCTAATTACTGCCATTCGTATAGATGATTCTGTGTAATATTGAAGTACTTATCTAGATATTTTCTTGCCAAGCAGCCGAAAAATCAAAGTTTAAAATAAGTAAGGAATTTATTTAAATACAAATTATTCGTGTTCACTCAATCAGAGAAAATTGAATAATTTTAAATTAATTCCTAAATCTAATGTGTTATTAAAGGTAAAATACTCAAATTTAAATTAAATTCAGGTTCTTTTTCCAGAAAATCATATCGATATAAGTTACATTACTAGTAATTATAGGCATACATGAGAACATGATACTTAGCATAGAATCACAGCAAGTGAGTTTTGAAAGTATTGAATTGTGTAGGTTTAGCGGGTGAAATGGGACGAACGAGCACTAATGAAGAGGAATAACATAACTTTGTTATATTTCCATCAGGGAATTAACGAATTAGCCAATAGATAAACAATATGAATTAAATAATATCTAGAAATAATTGTACATATTAATGAAGCCTAAAAAAAATCTTTTAAAAATGAAGAAATATCACTTAAACCAATAATGACGCTTTGACTGTGTAATTAAAATAAAGAAGAAGAAACTGTATAAATAACAAATTTTAGATATTTAAATTGAGAATTTATATATAAAAAAAAGCATTCCATTTTTATTTCAGTGATTATTTTAAATCTTTTCCTCTCCGAATATTTGAATATATGAAATTGTTTAATGTGCCTAGTCCGTTCTTCGAAACAAACCTTCTTATAAAAGCGCGTTTAAAGTATTGCCTCAATTTTTGAGGTGAATATAAAATCAATTTCCCTCGTATTTTGTCGATGTGCAAGATCCAAATTGAGAACAAAACACTCAAGAAGGAAAATAGAAGCTTCCAAGTCTTTTGAAGAAAACAAGAAGAAGAGATATTTTTAATGAGAGAGAGAGAGAAAGGAGAAAATTATTACCTATTGTGAACACTCTAAAGTAAAATTTATATTTCACAGGAATATCGGCAGATTTTCCCGTGAAAACACTACACAAAACGCAGATTGTAAGAGATTATATATACATAATGAATATATTTTTAATCGTTTCCTCTAAACAAGAATACACCTACCGAGCCAAAAAAGGAAAGGAATAGCATTATCTATTGAACCTGACGTGAAACATCTGAAAAGTATAAGATTATCGCACTGTCTTTTAGTAATTATTCAAATTCTAGCTACACTTCACCTTGCTGTGTTTTTCCACGAAGAGCGACAATTAAAAGAAAATCATGAAACGATTTGAAGATATTCATAAAGTGTTTTAATTGACAAGAACGTCGCAGAAAAATTCTTAATTTTTCTACTCAAGCAGACAAATTACACATCATTTGTTCACTTAAGACAATGACAAAAACAAGAGAAATTATTAATACTTCAGTAAACAGAAAAATACAAACGAAAAGAACATAACGATAACTTGTACTTTTGTATTACTAATAAATGGAATTAATATATTGCAAAATCGTGCATTTTTTCACTTGTATTCCTAGCGAGTAGCCTCTTGAGAACTCCCAACTGCAGACAATTCACCCGGCTCAAGGATGATTGGGAGGAGGTAAAATTACATTTTTCGTCCAGTATTTCTCATTTTTATTATTCATTCAATTGGGGAATACATTGATGGTAAAATTATCTGCTGATGTATCAGTGTTGAGAGAGTTTGTGAAAATTTTGTGCTTGTAAAAAATGCTGCAAACTCTTCAGCCTATTCCCTGTGAAGGAGGACATAAAGGGCGAGAATGCCGAGAATGGCGTACTTGAGATTTGGATATTCATTCATGTAGATTGTTATCATGCCCACGAAGGGCAGAAATCCCCTCGCCCGCCCCACTATGTCCTTCTTCGTGAGCCACAGCTGTCCGGGAGCGTACAGTCCTCGATCGTCCACAGAGTTATTGTCACCTTTCGTGAGGAATTTCACTGTTCCGTTAGTCCTGCAAAGAGTTCCGGAAGACATGTTAGAGGACAAGGCTGGTGAATGCTCACTGATAAGGGCAATACTTCTCATGCAGCTTGATCACGCGATGCACTATTGGAATGTCTCGTCCCTCCACCTTGAAAACGACAATCTCGCCCACTCGCACCGGCTCCTCGCGGTAGTTGGTCAGCACAAGCAGATCTCCCCTGAAAATGGAATGGCTATAGCACGGTCTCTGCGCAAACACAGCCAGGAAGGTACCTGTGGAAGGCAGGCTCCATGCTCCCGCTGAGAACCACCACGATTGGCGATTCGCTCCCGGTGACAACCATCAGACCCTTCCAGATCATCAGAGCAGACGAGACAATCATGCCGAAGCTCAGGACTTGGTAGAGAAACTGAAGAGACCCAGAAGTAATTGGAAATTGTGAAAATTTAGCAATTTCTTCCACATTGAAGGTTATGTTAGTATCGATGTAACAGACTTCCGCAGAACAGAATTTACCTGCCGCTTATCCATTCGCTGGACATCATTGAGCAGCCCATCAATGCTGAGGGCCTCCGCGACGCCCATTTCGCTTGGTTTTCCGGAAAGAAGAGCTGGAAAAACCACGGAAAATATCCTCACTTTATCAACGTCACCACAAAAATGTACACCCGGCTTGACGTCTCCCGAAAAAGCCAGAGATAGAGAGAGAGTGGAAGAGAAAAAATAGAGAGCGTGAGAGAATTCGCGAGAGAGGGACACGTCAGTTTTCGAATTCTCTCTTTCGAACTGGACTTGTCACAAAAGATGTAAACAAATCTTCACGTGTGCGTGTATTTCCTGCTAAGTTTTCCCACAATTGCACTAGTGTTTTACGTGAAAATTCAGTGAAAATGTTTCTGGAAGAGGGAGAAAAGATGTTGGAGTCTTGTGTACTTCCAAAATGTGTGACTGACATCACAGATTGCCCAATAGAAGCCAATCACTTCCAAGAGTACAAGAAACACTTGGAGTATCTTCTGCCGACACTCTTCGATTTGATCAGCAGCAGAGAAATTGAGCTATTTGACTGTGTGCCAGAGACTTTGAGATTCCGCAAACTCTTCGTAGAATTCGTTTGTGAGCAAACAAGTGATTGCGCTACCTTCCAGACGGAAGTTGCTTTGCTTCGGAGGAATTTGCTAAACTTTGAAAGGAGACTTAAGAAAATGCTGAAGGATGATGGGAATCTGGGAAGAGAAATGATTGTGCTCTACAAATCCAAGCTCTTGGGTGAAGCTTGGAAGCGGAATCTTGGAGCAATCTATGGATTTATTCACTTTTGCAAAGTGTCCTTCAGAGACAATCAGGACAATCCGTTGGATTTGGACAAAGCAATGTTTATCTTGTCCATTGGAAGCCAGTTTTTGGAAAACCACGATCCGGCCTTCAAGCTGTGTGGCTTGAAACTGTTCAGATTGATCCTCGAGTCTCTGCAGAAAGATAAGTTGATGGAAACCAACACTCACGAGGTAATCTATAGTCAAGCAATTGCTAATGTCGACAAACTCAACAGCGAAGAGTGCACTCAGGAAATCTGGAAATGCGTCTGGTTGTCTATGTCAATAGATAAGAAAGTGCCCAGGAATCTTCAGTGGAACAAATTCGATGACTGTCTTCAGACTCTGATCTATAAACTAAAACTGGAAAGTAATCTCGGAACTAGGCGTTTTCTGCAAGATACTCTTATTCGTTTTGTCTTATTCACAATTCCTGATAAGGAGAAAATCGAGGTCAATTGGAATGCTTGGGCATCAAACAATCAAGAGTCACTGAATGCTCTGAAGAGAAAGAGGGGCACATTTGATAACGCGAAATGCTATCGCTGGGCGAAGAGCCTCTTGGATATGATTGTTTTCCAATTCCTAACAATAGCCAGCAGCCGTCAAGATGCGATACCAACAATTCAAGTAATAATAACTCAATCAAATCGTAATGTTGTCTTATCATAAGATCACTTTTACGGCTTTTTCCAGTTTGTGCACACAACCTATCTGATTACGCTATCATTCATAAAGCGAGACTTATTGGATGAGTTTCTCACGCAGTTTGTCAAGAGATCTCTCCCAATTTGCGCGGAAATTCTCAATATCTTCCGAGATGCTGATAGCAGAGTACAAGAGGTTTGTTGATAAGCACTCACTTTGTATTGTAAGCGAATATATTAATGTTTAACTCTTGTTCCAGGAATTAATCGACTTCCTGACAACTGTGAACTATCAAACATCGGAAAGGCAAGATGAGAATAACTACTTCAAGGCTCTGAGTGATTTCCTAGCGCATGTGACAAAACCATAGGTCAAACTAGAGGTAAATATTCGTTTTGCGTATTTCATAAAGTCCTTGAACCACACGAAGCTGTTGGCATCATCACTCAACCTAAAATTGCAATAAAAATTGCGAATTCAAATTCATTGATAAGTTTTTATCAGCTGTTTATTTACTCGTCATTCTAGATTTTTTATTTGGCGCAAATAACCAAATAAGATTCGTTTTTTGCCATGTAGATCCATTACATGCTACAAATGGGATAATTGCTTTATTATGTGTACAGTAATCCATAAAAACATCCCAAAAATAAGAAACCCGTAACAAAACATGACATGAAACATACAATTTTGATAAGACGAATATGCGAGGAGGCACAAGAGTTTCAGATACATTGTAACTACCTAGGCTCGAATTTGAGCCAATATTTCGGTGCCATCGTGATGATCCCAGTGAAGTTCTTTGAGAGGTCAGGAAGCTTTTCGCCAGGCGCTTGTTTGATGTTGAAGTTCTGCGCTAGAGCGGAAACCATGAGGAAGAGTGTGTTCCGGGCGAAAGTTTCTCCCGCGCAAAGTCGTTTTCCGGCGCCGAAAGGCAGAGATTTATCCTTCTTCAGGCAGAGTTTTCCGTCGTCGCCGATGAATCGCTCAGGTCGGAAGACATGAGGGTCTCCCCAGAGTTCTGGGTCGTTGTGGAATGCGAACAGGCCGGGGATTACAAAAGAGTCTTTTGGGATGTCGTAACCCATGAGCTTTGTATCATACAAGGCTTTGTGAGGAATTGACGAGGGCACAAGCGTTTCGAAGCGCATAATTTCACGAATTGTGGACTCCACGTAGGGCAAATTAATCCTATCGTCCAGAGAAGGAAGTCTTCCTTGGCCCACGACTTCATCAATTTCCTTCTGCATTTTCCTAAGTACTTCGGGTTGCAAGAGGAGACGCTGGTATAAGAGTGATAAGGTTACAGGGACTCCCGTGAGAGCGGGAAAGAAGAAGTCCACACAAATGAGAATGAGTTGCTCATCTGAAATAATTTTCAATATTGATGTTGTGCATATTGTATGTATTTACGCATGATTGGCCTTGTTTTGTCAACTTACAGTTGAAGTATGGATTTTCCGTTCCTTCCTTTTGCTGTGCCTTCATTTGTTGTATATAGAGGTCAATGAAATTTCTCTCGTGACTCTCGTCGAAAGATTCCAAGTGCTTATCAATGATGGATTTTATAAACTTGTACACTCCATCATTTCCGTCACGCAGATTGATGTAGTCTGACTTTCCTGGGAAAAAGAATCTTATCCAAGGAATAATGCTCAGCAGTTTCCCATAATCGTCACCGCCAGCTTGAAACTGAAATCCAGCGCGCCCAGTCCTGGCCAAAAAATGATTTTTATCAACTGAAAATTTCACATTCAATTGCTATATCTTACTCAAAAAGAATCCCTTGTTCACTGCGCGTAAATTTCTCTCCCGACATGATCTTCAAGAACGCATTTCCCGAGGATGCATAGAAGATTTCAGGTATAAGAACATATCCATTTTTCATCATTTTCTGTAAACGAATGTAAAAGGTAACTTGAAAATCACTTTACATCCAAATAAAATATTCATATCGTACATGCTCATGAGGGTATTTTGGTCCATTTCGTAGAATATCCAAAAACAGACAAATTTCATCCCTAACTTCAATTTCCAGTTCAGTGAATCGTCTGCCAAATCCATAATCTCGAAGATGTCTCAGCGTGAATCGGCGTTGGTTTTTCCAATATGGCCCTTCAGTAAAGAAGATTCCCCTCAAATTATGATGAGGATCTCTCATGCGAGCAAGAAAAATATCCGCACGACCATCAAAGTCTTGTCGATTGAGAATTTCCTTCACGCCATCACTATCGTGACAAATCACTGAGAGCGCACCGCCAATGTAAAGCCCTATGATTTTCGAATTGTACCACTTGCTCAGCCTAATAGCGGCCTTGTAGAGATCTCTGTGGTCCATGAGCAGCAGTAACAAGTAACTTCCCAATATCGGGATTCTTGGGGGGCCTTTTGAAGAGAAAAATCACTGTCAGCACAAATAAGGTTTTCTTTTTGGGGTCCTTTAATACCTGGTGGAAAATTCGGAGGTCTTTCGTACATGTATTTGTACAACCGATAAATCGCTATTGTGACTATTATTCCTGATAACACGATCGAAAGCATTTTAACACTTAAATTTCACACACTCCACGTAAATTGAAGATTGAAGAATATTCACTAACTTAAGGTAATAATTGAAGAATTCAATGTGAGCATCGATCTTTACTGACTGAAATCCACAGACGAACTGCGAAATTGTTGAGATGTTATCCTATTTATTGGTTTTAGCGATAATAAAACCTGAACCTCTTGAGCTTGGAGTAGGGTAAAGTGTTTGCAACAACCGTATATATTAACTACATTTGTGGTGGTTTGACATTGTGCGACACTGCATGCGTGATACAGTGACAAAATAAAAACATTGTCAATATTTTTTGATAACGGATATTACAATTATCATTAACTTGTACATGAGACACAAATTCGCAATCCAGAATGCAATTAGTGTAATACACGTGAATATTTTTTAGATTATACGTATTTAAAGAAAGCTCCGAAATTAAATAAACATGGGATTTACTTAATCTATTTCCGTTCTTGTGGTTATTTCGAATCAAATATCGTGAGAATATTCATAATAGAATGTGAGCAAGTTAAATGCACGCACGTGTGTTTACACTGATTATTAAGTAACTGTTTATGTGACGAACATTTAATTATTTCCTCGCAACAATTATCAGATAATTTTCCATTTTCACGTAAATCATGTTTCCATATGGTTTAATCGTGTATGCTTTTTTGCTGTTAACCTTAAAAAAAATTTCAAGGTTTGATGAATTCAAGTTACTTAATATGGAAGAAGATAATCCGTTATTTGTGTTAGTGTTATGCTATCAGTGATAATTAAAAGCTTCTCTTGATAAGATGAAAGCTTTATTTATCTTTGTATTGAATTTGTACATATATATTTATTGTATACACAAATAATTCTGCAATCCGGTTACTTTTCATTACTATCTAATAAAAAATAAAAACACCGAATCTTATTGCGACGCTATGACGCCTAAAGAGACTTTTTTGACATTGAAAATTTGACGACTACTCTTGAATGTTCTTGAACTACAAGTTTTTTTCTAACAAGTGCCGTAAAGTTGCATAATTTATGAGAAGGAATACATAGTGTCTAATTTAGAATTTTTTGAGACTGCCTTCTCGTCTTAGATTGAATAGTCCATGTAGCTTATGAAGTGATATTTGGAAATTGCGCTTTTTATTGGGGAAAAATTGTACAATGTATGTACATTCATGGTAGGTATATATCTAACATGTTGTAATGTAATAACAGTATATATAGAGATATCGAACATCGATTGAGATCCTGAACTCAAATTTTAGGGAAGTAAAAAATATATTTTTGTGTAGAAGCTGGTATATAACATTTATTTTCGCTACAATATACCGGGTTACAAGATAGTTAGACGCATTATGACATTATTATTTGATCAAAGAATAAGTATTTTATTTGGAATAATATATATTTGGCAGCTTTGTATAACAAAAACTAGACGCCATTCTAAAAAAAATGTACAAGACTTCAAAAAACATGTCTTATGATTCTCCGCAATCAGCGTGGCTCGAACTTGATCCAAAACTGCGGTGTGAGTGTGATCAAGCCAGTGTCGTTCTTCGAGAGGTCGGGAAGCTTTTCGCCCGGTGGTTGCCTGATATTGAAGTTCTGCGCCAAGGCGGAAACCATGAGGAAAAGTGTGTTCCGGGCGAAAGTTTCTCCCGCGCAAAGTCGTTTTCCGGCACCGAAAGGCAGAGATTTGTCCTTCTTCAGGCAGAGTTTTCCGTCGTCGCCGATGAATCGCTCAGGTCGGAAGACATGAGGGTCTCCCCAGAGTTCTGGGTCGTTGTGGAATGCGAACAGCCCGGCAACTATCCCAGAATTCTGTGGAACGTCGTATCCCATGAGTTTAGTATCCACCATGGCTTTGTGGGGAATGGCTGAAGGAACGAGAGTTTCTAAACGCATAATTTCGCGAATTGAGGATTCCACGTAGGGCAAATTAATCCTATCGTCCAGACTAGGAAGTCTTCCATTTCCCACGACTTCATCAATTTCCTTTTGCATTTTCGTAAGGACTTCGGGTTGCAGGAGAAGACGTTGTATGAGGAAGCAAACAGTCACTGGCACTGCGGTCAAAGCAGGGAAGAAGAAGTCCACGCAAATGAGAATGAGTTGTTCATCTGAAAAGGAAGAAATATAAGTAATTTAACAGTCCGATTAACATTTATTGTCGTTAATGTCTCACAATGAAATACGGGATCAGTGATGCCTTCTTTCTCTTGGGCTTTCATTTCGCGAATGTACAAATCAATAAAATTCCTCTCGTGTGAAATATCGAACGTCTCAATGTGTTTGTCCACGATTGACTTAATGAATTTGTATATTCCCTCGTTGCCTTCTTTCACATTAATGTAATCTGATTTCTCTGGGAAAATGTGACGAATCCAAGGAATAACACTTAATAATTTTCCATAATCATCGCCACCGGCTTGAAACTGGATTCCCTTGCGACCAATTCTAGAGAAGAAAGATGTTCTCAAAAATACTTTAAAATTGAATATTTCCTAGATAAATCTTACTCATAGAGAATTCCTTGTTCGTCGCGCGGAAGCTTTTCTCCAGCCAATATTTTCAAAAATGCATTACTAAGCGAAGGATAGAAGATATCTGGTGCTAAAACATATCCATTTTTCATGATTTTCTGTAATAAAAATATGAAAGGTTATAGAACATCACTTAATATCTTAGTATAATTCATTTGACGTACATGTTCTTCAGGGTATTTCGGACCACCTCTGAGGATATCCAAAAACAAGCATATTTCGTCCCTAACTTCAATTTCCAGTTCAGTGAATCGCCTACCAAACCCATAATCTCGAAGATGTCTCAATGTGAATCGGCGTTGGTCTTTCCAGAAAGGTCCATCCGTGAAGAAAATGCCCCGTAGACCGAAATTAGGGTCTCTCATGCGGGCCAAGAAGATGTCTAGACGTCCATCAAATTCACTCCTGTTCAGTATCTCCTTGACTCCCTCGTAATCATTACAGACAATAACCGGAAGACTTCCGACGTAAAATCCAATTGTCTTTGATTTGTACCATCTGCACAGCGTGAGAACGGCCTTATGAAGATCCTTGCCATTGAGTAATAATAGGAAAATATACGATCCGACCATTGGCAATCGCGGAGGTCCTTGAAAGATATGAAAGGAATGCTTAATTTTTGCACACCTGAAAACTTCGTTCCAAGTCATCTCATTATAATTTACTGGCTTTTATCAAGACTGCCGCTTTAAATTACACATTTAGTAGATAACGAAGAAGATAAAACTCATTAATTCGTTCATAAAGAAATAAAAGAATTCATTCATCGAATTTGTTGTCAACTCCTGTGTTGATAACTTTATTTTATCACGAGATCTTTATGAAGATTTTATGGTTCGATTTAGATAATGAATTTTTTTTCCATAACCTTGGCAACATCTATTTTCGCCTTTTCTTATCTTTTAAATACAGTGTACTGAATGAAAATAAAACAATTATTGTCTTAAAAATTTGTCTTCCCATGTCAAGAAATAAAAGTCATTTTAAAGCACCTTAAAGCTTTCATTGATCTTTTTCTTATCGCGAATTGCAATCTTTCTTTTAATCGTTGTGATAAAGTGAAAGTTTTCCACGCGAAATACGGAATCAATCACTTTCGATTATGTAAACTTTCTTTTAAAACTGGATTTGAAGGTCCACGAGAGTTTCTGGATAAACTCTCTTCTACACTCATAATCACTTTCAGTCATAAAACTGGAGAGAGTATTTTTTCAGCTTTCATGCGATCACCGATGAAGCTTATGAATAAGTTTGAATAATGTCACTACCTGGTGGAAAATTTGGCGGCCTATAGAACATGTACTTGTAAATCCTGTACAGAATTAGACACACAGTCAGCCCGATCAAGATGATAGACGCCATGATCTATCCTGTGATCACTTCAATTTTTCACTTTTCACACTTTCGATTCCGAGCGTCTTGGCAGAAGTCTCACCCGCGACTGGTGGAGAAAATGTAAGCGGGCTTTTAAATATACTTCGGACCAGCTGGACTAATCAGCTTCACGACTCTCCCTCCTCCCCTTTCTTTCATCGCGACGGCAAGCTCTATTTGCTCTTCTGATAAAGGCGTCAAATTTGAGATTGTTATTCACAGTAGTGGTGGAAACAAAAACAATTATATACCTATATGTAGCTTTATCAATTCATACAGAGACGAAGAAATTCCTAATAAATTATCACATAATGTTAGTCGATATTTACATAAGCTCTTCTTTATCAATCCTAGTAGACAAGAATGGAATTAATATTGAGAGCAATAAAAGGATTAATACTCGTTACCACACAAGTGATTAATCCTCATTCGAACTTCTCAATAAAAATTACACTCTTTAAAACTTCAAAATATAGGAAATTCAGATAAGAAACGAAGCAGAGTTAGCGGAGAAGAAGAGACGAAAAATAGTATATAAAAATATTTTCCTATGCAGAAAAGTAGGTCACACTTCCAAATTCCGTTTCCAGAAGAAGATTTTACACAGTCATAAATTGAATGTATGAAGAGGAAATCTCAAAATTTGGGTCTGATAAACATCCCAATCATTAATTTTTCAAATGTCCTTCAGAAAGACTTGACTGGCTCCTGTCTGGACGAGAGAAAAAAAAACTTCTACCAATCCCACATTATTTTATTATCTCTATTAGTTAAGAAAATTTTAACTTGGCCATGTTGAAGCAAGAGATTAAGAGAAAAAAGTGTGTTTCGCGAAAGTAGAAGAAAAAATGTTGAAATTCCACTTTTTGACTTGTACAAATAAGCTTTTTATTCGCAATTGTTGATAAAGATGTACACGATATGTAAAAACTTGTCCTGCTTGAAAAATTATATACCGCGAAGATTGTTTATTTATGGAATTAGGAGGTAAAAAAAATTGCCGATTTTGGATGGAATTTTAGCATACATAAACATTAACAAAATAAAAGAAATAACTGAATATTGCACATACATTAAGTGATATATACAAAGTTATATTAATTGCTATTGATTCAATCAATTCACAACTTTGACCACATTTTAATCTAAATTAAATTTATCTTCGTTGGCGATGAACGTTTCATTTCGAGCACCTTATCAAAAAAGAATTAATTTACTTGCTTCATTTGCCTTGAAGCATCGGCAAGTTGGGAATACTATTATCAGAGATGATTTCGCTCCTCGACTGCGAAGACTCCGAATCTGTGCTGATGTTCGATTTCATCTCCTCTGTCATTTGAGGTGCCGCTGGGGACATTAGCAGGCTAAAGTGTGGTATGTTATCACAAGAGTCCTGCGAAGGATTCGCCCTGTGTACTCGCAAGAGGCTCACGTCTGGAATCATGGCACTTTCCATCTCGTAAGGCGCCTCCGTGACACTCTCTGCCGATTGACTAGTCACGGTGTCCGGAATGTCTGTGGAGAGAGTGTCGATACTGCTGGGAATATTCCGAGAGGCATTGCTAGGTCCTTCTTCTCCCCCGACCAAGATGATTCCATCGTTTCCCATTATGTCGGAGTGTAGCGAGAAGTTTGAGTCCTGCGTGCCCGACATGCTAGACATTGAGAACTGTATGAGGTTCTCAGGCGTGCCATTGTTGGAGTCCAGAACGTGAATCTTTCGTTGATCATTCGGTGTCCACTTGTCATAGAAATCCATGTTGTTCTCTAAATTACTCGGAATATTGTTGATGTTTGAGGAATTGGGATAGTCCATGTCACTGAGAATCCCTCCAATTTCTGCTATCTCCTCGTCAGGAGGCAGAGAAATATCTATCCTGGCTGCTGGACCCTTTTCCGGACGTTTCGGCAGAGCCTCTGCAAAGACAAGTGTTGTGAGATTATCGTAAAGTCACATGATATTCTGACATACCATTGAGTAAATCAGCTACATAATCTGCTGCTCGGAAGAGCTCTGCCTTCACGAGCAATTGCAGCAAATGCGCTAAGTTGGGTCGAATCCGTCCAGAAGTTCCCCATTCATCCATGAGAATCTCAGCTGCCAGACGACTTCCCTTGTTGTTCTCGATGATCCTACATAATTTAGCACTGTGTATTCGATATGGAGTGGAAAATGTATCAAGAATACTCACTTAATATGCTCAGCATTGTATTTCCCACCAAACTCCTCAATTTCAACCTCTTCCTCCAGCTTTTTGGGTATAATCCTCATGAGCTTCTTCCAGTTCTGTGAAGAATCAAGTTGCTGGGCGATTTTGAAGATTTCGGCAGGTGGAAGGTGTCGAATCTCAGTTTTACGTGATAATGTTGTCATTGCAACTATTACTATCGTTTCTGAATCACCAGAAATCCCAGACAACTTATTATTCAGAGAGTTTTGTGCAGAAGGCCGCCTGTTGCTCCACTCTGTTTTTATTTTCAGCTGTCAACTACTCACACTGAACCCTAAAAAGCATACAGTTTCTAATGATTCTTTGGAAGCGAAAAGGCGATGATAATCTCATTTTGGAGAGATTCAATTTTTTTCAACAAATGCTCATAAAGATTTAATATCACCTCACATTTGTTTATACAAATAATTTAGAATTAGTTGTCTGAGAAATCAGCTTCCGTTTGTCAATAAAATAATTCTTTTTAAATAAATGCAATATCAGTGTATTTTGTGAAAAATATGAAATCGTATGATTCGATAATGTTGCAAATATTTTCCGCCAGAGGTTTGGCTGTTCGGTGCGCGCAAACGAAATTTTAAATCTCTCCCATGAAACGCATCGATGTGAATATCTTTTTATCTAGCTGGTTGCCTTAATTATTTTCAATTTTAGAACTTTGGATTGGTTATAGAATAGGAGAAGCTATTAAAAGATTAATTTTTACCATTCGAAGCAACATAATATTTTATTGTGAACCCTGTGTTGTCAAAATCCACGGCTTCATCAGCTGATCATGCCAGCCATGCCAGCTGATGTTTATTATTCAATTCGCCAGTCCTTCAACTCTGCTCCTCCGCCAAAGAGGCTGGCATTCCAATGCCTGTCGTCCAGTATTCAGACTTCCTCTTGGGAGGAGTGGCATCAATGGGTGCCACTATATTCACAAATCCTCTGGAAGTGAGTGTTTGGCCAATAGTTAAGACGTACCACTGCTAATTCTACTTTCTTTTGTAGGTTATTAAGACGAGGATCCAGCTTCAGGGTGAACTGGCGGCTCGAGGAACATATGTTGAGCCATACAGAGGCATTTTCCAATCCCTAATTACTGTGGCGAAACACGATGGTATTACAGGACTTCAGAAGGGACTTGTTCCTGCTTTGTACTTTCAATTTGTTCTCAACGCTTTTAGGTGAGTGTTTCTCATATTGTTTTTATTAAAACTATATAATTACATGATAAATAATGCATGGACAGATATAACGTTAATCAAAATCCTTATCTGTACAATCCATTTGATTGATTTGATGATTCAGATTGCTTAGTAGATTTGTAATGCTTCTCTCTGGAAAAGCTTTACTTAACCAACGAAAAAGCATGTCAAGTTTGGGAAAATAAACACATATTTTATGGGATTTTTAATAGGGTTATCAAGAGTGGCAGGAAGTAACAAACTTTAACTATAATTACACGCCAAATTTCCAGATTAGGCATCTACAATTGTGCTGTTGACGCCGGCTGGACGAAATCACATGGCGGGAAGGAGTCTTTCGGAAGGAATCTCTTCTGGGGAGCAACTGGAGGCTTGGCCGGAGCCGTTCTCTCATCGCCCTTCTTCATGATCAAGACTCATTTGCAATCTCAGGCGGTGAAAGCGATCGCTGTGGGTCATCAACATCCGCACACGGGCATGTCTCATGCCTTTAAAGAGATTTACAGAGCACATGGCTTCAGTGGCTTATATCGTGGCGTTTTGGCGACGATTCCTCGCGCTATCCTGGGAAGTGGAGGTCAATTGGCCACATTTGGGGTGACCAAAGACATGATCAGGCGCCATTTGGACATCAAAAATCCAGTGTGGGTGTCTCTTCTGGCGGGAATGCTCGCGGGATCCGTGATGGCGATGACAATTACACCACCAGACGTGATCGCCACGCGGCTGTTCAACCAGGGAGTGGACGAGAAGGGCAAAGGAATCTACTACCGAGGCGTGATTGACTGCTGCATCAAAGTCGTGAAGGCGGAGGGCATCTATGGACTCTACAAGGGCTTCTGGGCAACGTATTTGCGCATCGGGCCTCACGCAACACTCGTGCTTATGTTTTTTGATCAAATGATAATGTACAAGACCAAGCTGACGGGAAATGCCTAGTAATTCTTGTGATATTTGTCAATTTGTAGTTCTAATTTGTTAGCAAATATACTCGCCTGTTGCCATTGTGGTGAATTGTTTCTGCATTATGTCCACAATATCAATTAAAGTGCCTAAGATTTATGCAATGCTTATTACAGTATATAGACTAAAGTGTTGTCTTAAGGAGTGGAGTTAATGTGTATTGTTACTGGGCTGTCGAACATTTCAGTTTCCCTTTTCTGTTCACTGAAGTGGTTAAATTATTATGTGCGAGGGAAAGATATGATTTTTCTGTTATATTGAAGTCATTTCTTTGACTTCTCGCAATATCTTGTTTAATTAGGATATAAGAAGTTGACTCAGAATAATTATCGTAAAATTCACACAGACTGATATCCTTATGTGTAATTGTAAGATCTTCACACTTGATCTTACTACAATTTTTCCCATAATTGCAGCTATGCGCATGTGAATGCAAAATCTCAATGATAAGACATTGAAAACCACACTGTACAGACAATATGGAGTGCAAAATTATACATAGTTGTTATTCTAAAAGTAGCCTGAGACTATAAGCCTTCTCAACAGATTGTTGGTCTGGTGATCGATGACTTTAATCGCATTTGCTTATCAGAAATTCCACTGCGTGAACTCTTTTGTCGCACTGCCTCATGAATAAGTTGCAAAAACTACGGTAAAAGTGTTGGTAAAAAATTTCGCTGTGAAAAGCCCTCGAGACCTCACATCGTGTTCCTCACAGACTCCGGCAATATAGTGAACATGGTTCAGCTATACAACCAAAATCCCACCACACGAGAGGCAAAAAAAGGCATTACAGCTACGAAAAATTATACAGAGTCACTCTCATTGTAATTGTAGATAAAGGTTGAAAAGTGAGCTGAACACATCCAACGCCGCATCGCGTCAATTCAGTCATTTATCGGCAGCCGATGGAGGTGATCCAGTGGGTGAGCTCCTGATCGCGAACGTGCACAATATGAAGATCCGGTGCACTGTGTGAAGATCGCGATAGTTGGCAGATATATAGCTCAATAATTGCCCAATATATTCTTGTGTATAATAAATCCATCCTCGGTGCTGTTTCTTACGTGAATCTGTGCTAAGGCTTGTGCATTCGTGGGCAAATTGTTTCCCAGCAATTATCAGTGGTGTGTCAAACTCTTCTTTTTTGTACTGCCTTTTGCACCGTTCAACTGATAACAAAGCAGAGCAGAGACAGTTATAGTTTTTTTTTGGTGTGAAGTGATCAGCAATCGAAATGGAAAACCTCAGTGCATCAAGTGAGCAAATTGAGGAGCTCAAGAGGCAATTCTTCGAAAAAGTGCAGCGAGATGGACATGAAATAGACGGTAAAAAAGTTCTGCTTGGTAAAATAGTTTAAAAAATGATTGCAAAATGTGTGATGAAGCAATATCCAATCCACTTTTAATAATTTCCTCTCTGTGTCCAAGAAGATTTTAGAAAAGTGTGTGCGCGTTGTCAATGCCACGGCGGAATTACGTAATGATCGTATACACAAATAAGGTGTACTTTTACCCATGTAAAATATATTTACAAAATAATAACGTCGTGGAGGAAAAAAAAAACTATGCCAATTTGATGGTTTTTTTTCGTCATGTGTCACGGAGATTACAAAAAGTCACTTCAATACATACTTCCCTTCATTTCTTGCCTATTCATTGCAAAGTCCATTGCTCACGCGTCTACGGAATCATTCCGTCATATTTTAGCTAATATTTGCCATTCGAATAAAGCCGCAAATGAATGATGAATAATTGGTATTTTTACCAGAAATGTCCTCAACCATAAATTCCACACAGTTTTGCACGCACTGTGTCGAAAGAGAAATTAGATGTCATAAAATTGATGTAAAGTGAATTGCTTCATCAGAATTTTTCTCGTGTCACTGTGTATTGCCTGCTAATTTTCCAACTTCACAGTGAAGAAAACACATTTTCAAGGGTAACCTCATGCATGCGACCTCTTGATCTGTAAATCCGATGGATTGAGAAGCTTTGTGCCAATTCTTGACAGAGCCACACCGTTAACCAACTTCTCTCATGACGATTGATCGTTTTAGGTGTTTCCAAAGCGCGCAACTCAATAATTAAGACACTCAAAAGTGCTTTTTTGTCTTGTTCTTGCGCGCCAAGGTGAAATGTATTTGATTTTTTGTGTGTTGAAAGCGCCCAAAGTGTTTGTGGAAAGCAATATTCCATTTCAAATTGATATTCAGTTTTTGGGTCATCATAACAATCTAGCGATGATGTCAATAGCCCTGTTTCCAATTAGGAATTCAATTGTGTTTTTATTTTTAAAATGTCTTCGCTTTTCCATTCCTTCGTGAGTTATTTAAATACTTTAACAGAATATGTGCATTTTTTAACAAAGTCAAAAGGAAATCACATATTTTGTGGATATTATAGAAATATTTATTGATTAAATTAATTTGTGAATATTTCATATTCTCTGCACAATGGAAATTTTTAATAATATTCTATGATTAGCACAATTATAAAGTCTTATCCGACGAGGTTTTATCTTGAGTTTTGTGAAGAAAATTTTCAAAGATATACAAAATTCTGTATTCTTAACCCATAAAAGTGAGCAACTCAAGTGTACTTTTAATGCATGGAGAGTATCTTATCTAAATCTTTTTCTATCTTTGCTGTATTATGTTATTTTTTTGCCATTTAATGTCACGAACCAACGGTTAAGTGTTTTCTTACGCAAAAAAAGTCAATGACTTTACGATTGACCTCTATGAATGATAAAGTTATATATTTGTTTTGAATTCGCTTCTCTCTTTACTGCAGGTGGTTTTCATCCAGCTGATATAGATAGGATAAATACTAGCGAGAAATGGCTTCGTCTATTCATCGAGTACAATGACTTGGACATGAAAAAGGCACTGACTCAACTCTGGGACACTTGCGTCTGGCGCAAGAACTTTGGAACCAACGGTAAGAATTTAGCTTCTCATCTGATTGTCATTCAATGCCCGGTCCTCTCTTTTAGATCTTGATGTAAGTCAGTTGCGACAGGAGTATCTACATGAGGGCTTCATGTTTCCCAGGAATCGCGACATTGATGGGAAACGGCTGCTGATCTTCCGCTCGAAACTGTACGTTCGCGGGACGAAAGACATGGATGATGTGAAGAGGATTCTCGTGTACTGGGTGGAGAGATTGATGTACAGGCAAGTATCATTGATCTCGTCACCATTGTCAGGCAACTCATGCTCGAGTGTTGTCTTGCAGAGAAGAGGACCTTGCCCAAATCTCGGTGTTCTTCGATCTCAAGGACTCTGGACTGAGCAACATGGATATGGAATACACGCGCTACATTATCAACCTGTTCAAGTTCTACTATCCGAATTCACTGAACTACATCATCATCTTCGAAATGCCCTGGATTTTGAACAGTGAGTGTATTTGCCTTCTCCTCTGGCAATCCATTTCACACCGAATCTCACTGCCTTTCAGCAACTTTCAAGATCATCAAGAGCCTCTTACCAGCAAAGGCCGTGGCGAGAATGAAGTTCGTCAACGGCAAGACATTGCATGAGTTTGTGGATGAGAGCAATATGTTGGACATTTGGGGTGGAAGTGATAACTACACGTATAAGTTTGAGGAGGGGGAATCATCGGCCAAGAGCATCAATAACAATAATTTGAACGCCAGCGGAAGAAAGGTGAGAAAATCAATATTGGCTAAGCACAAACGTTGTAACCATTTTCTTAGTGTCGCTCGAAAAATTGAGGTGTGTCGAATGTAAGGATTTCAGTAGCATTTATTACTGCAATTAAACCTCAATGATATGTTACTAAATCAATGCGAGACACAATGAAGATCATTGCGGTGATAAAGGCGAGATATAATTAGCACTATGCATTTTGTAATTCGTGGATGGAGTAGAAAATTGGATAGAAAGCCTATTTTAACTGGGACAACCCAAATATCATTTCTTCCATTATATTGATCGAGTTGTTTATCTGTAAACTAATGACCTCTCTACAGAAATAACACTTGATTGCGATAAGCATGGCCAGCGTGGCCTTTTGAACTTCCAGTCAAGTGAATGCTCTGCACTTACATTATCAACATCATTTCAATATGAGTACATAATATAGTTTAGGGTGTTAAATATTCAAATATTCCCTTCGTTGCGCCATCTCTGATGAGTGCAGGAAAATAATGGACTTTTAGAACATGACCTTCATTTGGCTTGGATAAACGCTCAACTTTTTTCAGAATGGAAGTGTTTTCTCTCAATTTTTTAATTGCTCAATTATTTTTATACTTTGACATCATTGCTCTAAAGGCAGGTAATTAAACAAATGTTTAATTATCTTGATGCAATCATTATCTTAAGTGCTATTAGAAAAAACCGCTTCTTGAGCGGTTCAAGCTTGGATAACTTCAAAAAAGCGATGTTCGAAAAGAATACGAATGCGGCGCGCGGTGGGAAATTTTGCACACACGCTTTAGTATCCATTTGGCTGGCGTGGTGAGTGTTTCATTGTGTTTGCAGCTTCTGCTGAGTGACGTTTCTAAAGCAATTGAAATACTATTTTAGGGCAAGAATAGCCAGTTTGATGACTTGTTTTCCTCAAATTCCCTAACTCTAAACGTGAAAGTGTGTAATAACCCACTAATTGCTGTAAAATACAGTGCATTTTGGATACTGTGTACATAATAAATGTTTCGTGACCGACAATCGTCTTAGTCACTTTGCTTTGTCCCCGAGAGATTATCATCATTCATAAAGCATCTCCTTCGTCATTCATTGTGTTCTTAAGTATAGTATTAAATAACTGATTGGAGTAACAAAAGTATCATTGAGTGATTGTAGAAGTAATTGGAGAGTGAGTGAAATTGTGGGGAAACTTGCGAGTGCATCAAAATGTCAAGAGTATGTAGTAGTCATAAGTAAACAGTCGGAATAGTCGATGTTGGGAGCTTTTTGGAAAATTGCTTTGCTTTTCAATGCCAGCATTGACATTGACCTGGAGAATGTGCATTGGATTGTGTCCATCAAAGAGAAATTACATGATAAATATTAGATCATCATTTGTAAAAATAATCCACAATCAAAACATTGGGCATTTCCTCTCCACTCCACATCATTCGTCCGCGTCACACGTCACACACACGAAGCGACATTCGAAGTCAATCGAAGTGGCATTTAATTTTTCAATACAAGAAACGGTATTTAACAGCTAAAGAACTTTGCCCTAATTTTCTGTAAGTTGCTTTGTAAATTTATTAGTTTTGACCCTTTGTGGTCTTTATTGTTGAAATTATATGCATTTAAATTCAAGTATACGCTATGAATATAATTTTTTATTGTGTATACATTGAAGAGGAAAAGTGATAATTGTTATTCACATGGAAAATACTGTTGAATTTGGATCACTTGACTGCTGAATAAACATTTCTGCTATTTTAAAAAAGATTATTGCATGAATGTTTCCCTCGTTCTCATAATATTGTATAAGTGCACAATGTTTTAAGAACTTGGCTTTAGTTCAGCTCAGGTCACAGCGTGATTAATGACTAATTACTTTTGGGCTCCGATTCTGAACATCTTGCCAATATTAGTCAGTTTACTTCAGTTCACAGAGTGAGAAATGCCTAAATTTTCGAGATAGATCAACTCAAAGTGTCTAAAAATGGTGGAAACAATAAAAATAAAACCTAAACAGAGCGAGAGAAAGTGTGTGAGAGGAAAGGCTCCCGTCCAAGTCATCATTTGCATTAAGTGCTTTACTCCATTAGGCGTTCATTCTCGCTTGTTGTAATTGATTCTAGAGTAGGAACAATGGTAAGGGAGTTGTGCAGAATTCTAACCAGTGTTATTTTGCAATTTAGAGCATAATTGAGCGATATTGTTTGCGTGGAAAAAGTGGAGCAATATAAACTGTATAGGAAGTTGTGTGTTTGCTTTATTAATAGATCGCATTGCATTATGTTGCTTGAGAAGAAATGAATCTAAAAATATAAACTTATTCTGCAGGTACATTTTGCAAAGTTGAGTCCAACGGAGTCACCAATGTCAGAGCAACATGGTTCGAGTTTCACGGAGAAAGGTAAAGTCGCTTTGTAGGTATAGTGAAAATTTTGATGGGGTGAAGAACGCTATAAATAGATTACGTAAATCACCTTTCCTGCCAGTCAATTTATCCAATTGATTGCACACGAGAAATGGAGGCTCGCGATATTTGCCTGTAATGTGTTCACTCACTCATCAAACATAATATTCTCTAATAATACTCTCTTCCCATTTTCTCATCCGATTGCGCCGCTGTGTGAGATTTTCACTGATGCCCACACTCTCGTTTCTCCGTAGGCAACGCAGGCGATGAGATGCTGCGCGTGGTGCAAGACACGCTGCTATTCAACAAGACAGGCAACGACTATTCCGGATCTGTGGAGATAATCAATATCGATCTGAAGCCCATCACGTACAAAGTGAAGACGACGGCGCCCGACAAGTTCAGAGTGCGTCCGAGTTCCGGAGTCCTAGCTCCGGGCTCGTCAATGACAGTCAACGTGGTCCTCGTGCCCGGCTGCCAACTTTCCGCGCTGTCGCGGGAGAAGTTCCTCGTGATGTGCATGGCACTGGGTGCTGATAAGCAGACAAACTCTCAGGATATCGCAGAACTGTGGAAGGTACACACTCAGCATGGTCAAATTTCACGTGAATTGAATTTCGCTTGATTTGCTTTAATGTGCTTAGGAAGTGAGTTCATCAGCTTGGTTGGTTTTATTGATTTTCCACCCTTTGCAGAACACTCCCTCTCACAGCCACCTCGTGGAGCAGCACAAGCTGAAGTGCCTCTTGCCCGGACTGTCGCACGTCTCGGAGGTGTCCTTCAAGAATGGCACTGCCTTCAGCGGCAGCTCTGGCAGCGACAGCGATCGCCAGATCAGCCACTTGGTGCAGACTGTGCACGAGCTGAATGACACAGTGGCGCGACTGGATTCGCGCCTGAAGAAAAACCAGATGCTCTTCTTCCTGGCCCTGCTGGCCATCGCCTCCTTCTGCGTGGCCACTCTGTACATTGTCAAAGGGAGCATCGAGGAGCATGGCATGGGGTACTGCGTCAAGAGGGACGACTAGACAGCCGATGGATCTGACCTACACTTCATCCTGTTGTGATCTAGCTTCATTCGGACGGAATACTCACTGATTCGCGCATACCTGCCTCCACGGTTAACCACTTGGATCCACTATGAGCATGGCATACCTTCTATTCCTTTAAGCTGTTATGTGGATACAGTATTTTGTACATTATTTATAGTTGATTGTGATTTTCAATCAAAGGAATAATGAAGGAAATACCCAGTTGTGTTTTTTTGGAGGGAATTCCCTGGCGTGAAACGCGTTTCATTTATGTTTCAGCACAGCTGGCGCAACAAGCGGAAATTTTGAGAAACTATATCGAAAGTCGGGTTTTTTTTTGCATAAACAGAGGCAAGGATCTGAGATTGCTTTTCCACGAAAACCATTAGAAATTGAGTGAAAACTGCCGTAATTTCGAGAGAAAAAGGCATTTATGTGAATCAAAATTATAAATCTCTTTGAGGAAATCACTCAAGTGTTGAAAAACAGTGAATCGGTGATCCTTTGCCTAAGACGAATTTTTTACTTTGTAAACTATAATTAGAGCATAAAATAATGCTAAATTGCTACAATCGAGGCTGTGGGCAGTCTTTCTCTCCTGAGAAGAACGATGAGGGTGAGAAGTTACAAAGTTCTTGTAATGTTTGAGCTCAAGATGAAAGTGTGGGCGGATTTGTAGGTTATGGCAGAAAATTCTAGAATCTCATTTGTTTGCAGAATCTTGCCGGTATCATCCGGGAATGCCGTACTTCCACGATGCCTACAAGGGTTGGAGTTGCTGCAAGAAGAAAAGCGTGGATTTCACCGAGTTTCTCAACATCAAGGGCTGCACAATGGGGAAGCACTCGAATGAAAAGCCCCCGGAACCTGAGAAGCCGGAGAAGAAAGAGTGTTTAGTGGAGGAGGTGAAGGTGATTCGGCCACCCATCCAGAAGTCTACACTGCAGAGACCTGATTTTGAGATGCCTGTGGTGCAGCTGGAGACGAACGTGGCACCCGCTCTGAAGCAGCAGATCGATGCCTTAGCGCCTGCTGTGACCAAGGAGAGTGCCACAAGTGCTGCAGTGGCTGTGGGCACGACGTGCAAGAATCGCGGCTGCAATGGAACTTACGAGACTCCAGAGTCCAACGATCTGGACTGCGTCCATCATCCGGGAGTCCCAATATTCCACGAAGGCATGAAATACTGGTCCTGCTGCACCAAGAGGACCACGGATTTCAGTGCCTTCCTCGCTCAAGCGGGCTGCAGCATTGGCCGTCACAAGTGGATCGCGGACGGGGGCAAGGCAAGCGTGAAATGCCGATACGACTGGCATCAGACGGCATCCAGCGTCGTGGTGGCTGTCTATGCGAAGATGTACGACTACGCCAAGAGTTACGTGAAGTTGAATCCCGTCAGACTTCAGGTATGTCTGGTGTTTCCGCAGCAAAGTGGAGCCCAGTTCAATCTCGACCTAGAATTGAGAGGAGTTGTGGATGTGAAGCAATACCAGGTGGACATGTTCGCCACAAAGGTCGAGATCAAGCTCACGAAGGCCGAACCGGGATCCTGGGCGAAACTAGACATCCCGCACGTCGCAGACACCGTCCCAGAAGCGACTCCAGCAGTACAAAAGATTGAGAAGAAGACCAATAACCTGAGCCTGGATGACTCTGATGACTCCGATGTGGATCTCGATGACATCGAAGCAGTGCATCCGGGTGCCAAGATTACAGAACTCGACTAAGTGTCTCTTAGAATGTAGTTTACTGATCAAAAATGTGTAACGAGGCGAAAACGGTATACAGAAGGGAAACCACAAATCATGCTTACTCTTTACCCGGCACGTAGTCTTCGTCGTCTGTATCTGAGTCCAGTTCCAGATCCTCGATGTTCTGGAAGAGACTCTCGTCGATCTTCACGTTCTCGATTGAGTCTCCCGCCTCGAGGAGGAACTTGATATCGGACTCATTGAGCGTGTTGTCCCGCAAGAAGAGCTCTCTTCCAGTCAATTTCCTGTTCTCAGCTGATTCTTTCAACCGTTTCTGCGTGATGCCGAGTTCATCTTCAAATGTGGTCTTCCAGGCTAGGAACGTCTCCACCGAAACACGTGTTCCCTCAAATTTCTTCTGTTCCTGCTCCTCCTCTTCCCGCAGGCGACGCTCCCGACTGAGTTCCTCTTCGCGCTTCACGTCGTCCCACCGTTGGTTAAGCCACTCCTGAGCGCTGCTGACCAGCGAGAAAATCATCTCCATGCCCAAGTGCTCAGCTACAGTCTCTTCGATGTGCTTCACTAAGCGCTCCTCGTAGTCCTCGAGGAAGTTAATGGGATCCTCGATCTCGACGAGCGGCGCTGTATCCGGATACTTCTCGGTATACGTGAATATCAGCTGACACTGCAGGCCATTCTCTTGCGCCTCTGCGTTGTACTCCTCAGTGGAAATGGGCAGCTTGAATCTGTGATAAGGCTCCTCGGCAAGAACTGCGGGTAAAGCAAGGACGAAGATTTTCTAGAGTTGCTTTCTAACCAAAAACAACATCTGTATTACCTTCCAATTCCCCACAGTAAATCGAGTCGAGCGCCTCGATTTCATTTGTTTGATCCTCCTTGTAATTCCTCGTATCCATGGTGCTCGCGGAAGGCAGTGAAAGTCCTGGGAAAATCACAATTTAGAATTGTTTTGGTTTTTACAAATCATGTGGCGACTGTCGTCAATATCGACGGCAGCGCTACTATACATTCGTGGTCACTCATCGAAAGAGCGCCGGCTACACTGTAAACAAAAGTAAAGAAAGTGCTCTGCGATTGCCGTTTATTGTTTCTTGAGCCTTCCTTTAATCTAGCTTTTTACCTCTTATCTATTCCTATTGTTTTGATTACATTAGGTTAATTATTCCTTTTTAGGCGAACCAGGAAGAGTCAATAATAAAATAAAAACGATTGCAAAAAACACGATTTCATGTCAGTTAAAAAGTAAAAAGCCCTTTTATACAGAATTTAATTCTAGTCCAATTAAGAGTTCTCGTCTTCTGGGTTTTATGAAAAAGTGAGTTTTATTGCTTTGTTTTCACCGTCAAAGTCAACGAATGATTGCACATTATAATTCATGCCAGACTTATCATAATACAAATAAAGTCTTAATTTGCAAATCAATCGATTCCGACTGACAAAATCACATGTGTCACCATCAATAACATAAAGATGATTTGTATATAAATTAACAAATAATGATGAAACCATATACATAATTAGTCAATCCATATTCACATACCTTTGATCGAGAAAATGAACACATTGAACCAATTTTGTGTGCTGATAGAGATAAATGCAGGGGAAATATTTCGTTTATTTCGAAGGCTGCCATTAAGAGCAATAAAACTGTATATTATTATTTCACTTTTGTCCGCTTGTCTTTTTAAGACATCTCCCTCTTTCATGTCGAGTATTACTCAACGATACGAGAAAAATTATGTCTCTGAAAAATAAAACTCAAAGTTCATTGCAACTGCTGTAATATGTAATGGTAGTCGAAATTTTTACCGGATGTCATATAATCAGGAAGATAATTCATTTTGCAGAGATTCCGTGGTGTGATTTCAACACACATTAGTACCAACGTCACATCTAATTAATGCTTTCCCATGATCACAAGATTCTCATCAAAATGCATGCACTATTCGAGATGTAAAGAGACTAATTGCACGTCAAGCAATTTGCATTTCTTATGGTCCATTAGAATGTCATTGGTGGCAAGTGATCATCTTGGGAAGGTGTGTGTGGTGCGCAAGTAATATCCAGCCAATTGCATCTTTTTATCGAAGGCACACAATAAAGCAGTTTCCGAGCGGCACTTTCAAGATCACGATCACATGAGACGACGCGGCATCAGGTGTCAGGTGGGGATCAGCATTATGAATGCGGAAATGTATAGTTTTATTCAATTAATCTGCAGACACTTGTGCTCTTTCGACACCGATTACAGTAATTGTCTCTCTTCCGAAGTGATCACGGCGGGGGGAGTTCAAGCTGGATTTTTAGGGCAAAGAAGGAAGAATAAAGATTGCGAGTGTAACGGAAGCTACATATATGTTGCGCTCCAAGTCCAGATTTAAATATATATCCGATTGTGATCGCAAGGTTACAGCGATCGCGAAACTCACAGTAAAGATCATTATTAACAGCAATTGGTAGTTGAGCAGCGGATGCAACTATCGTGGTGTGATCGTCGCAATATCCGTGTCTTTCACCATTGTTCTTGGCAATCTCTGTACAGAGAGGATTTCAAGAAGATCAATGTGAACCTGATCAGGCAGTGACCAGCTGTGCCGAAAACAGCAAGTTCTAGGTCGGTCATCAGCACGAGAATCTATCAATGGAAGTGTCTGCGTAATCACTTCCGAATCTTTGCCCACTCAGAGGAAAGAAGCCAAATTAATGAGTCTGAAGGCTGCGATCTCGCAAAACGTAGATTATATTTTTCTTCAAAAAAAAGAGAGATAATATATTTCAATTTCCGCTGCAATTAAAGTGAGTGTTTGTAATATTGCAAAACCGCGTTGGAGTGATCGTTTGAATTTTCGTATGAGGAAATACTGACTGTTTGTACATTAAACAGCAGACAAACAGTAAAAAAAGGCCAACAAAACTGACCTTTTCGTTTGGGCAGCACATGCGAAATACTTCAGAGCTTGTTCTTGAATTCCGACCACCGCTACAAGACGTCTCTCACTTTTTTGGGCCATCGAAGCGCGCGGAAGCCAGCCAGGGATCACCTGACGCCGAAGTTGGGCTCCTTTTTCCACACCACGCGCCAACGGCTGAGTCCATCTCTGAGGAGGCAAGAGATTGTTTCGCTTTTCCTGCCCGGGTGTACGTGACTCGACGGGTCGCGATGTATAGTGAAATAATAAGAAATCTTAACGAGAAGCGAGAGAGGCTTTTCAATGCCACACCATTAATTTATGATATTTCACCGCGCGGATGATGAAAACTTAACATTGAATGTGAAAATTAAGTTTGTACATTGTTTTCAATCTCCTCTGTTGTAATAGCGTCTCTTGAGCACATTCGTGTATCTCGCATTTTTTGCATTGCATTCTCACGTCTTTTCACTTCTTCACATTCTTTCCGTGTTGCTGAAAGCTTGATGAAAATTCTGCCAAAGCATCTGTGAGTATGGAAATCTCTTCGTGATTTCCTCCTTCCTAAATCTAGCCAAGGAGAAGCAAATCATACTTAATCATTTCTTTTCAACGGAACAACTCTTGCCTCCATCATGCACTTGAATTACAGCTAAGAATGTAGAATGCAAGATTAGCATAATACAATATTAATATTTCCACCCGTTTGCTCATTGTGAGACATGTAATTTAGAATAAATCTTTTGCATTTCACAAAGTTCTGCAGATAATAAAATTATTTCGCTCAGGACAAAAGTGAGTTACACAGCAACAAATTTAAAAATATTAGAGTATAATCGTAAAGTTAAGATCGATGATTTACGATGTTGAATTTTGAAATACCACAATTTCATTACAGATTTTACGATAATTTTTATTCATATGCATTTATAATAAAAAAAAATCATACATATTTTGACTTAAGCACATTGCATGACTTAAGGTGAAGAAAAAGTATGATGCATCATGCTGAAGAAAGCCTTCATTGGAGAACATATTCATGGTACTTGGGCACTAAAGGAGATTCCGCTTCGGTTGTTTTCCACCAAAATCAATTCTGGATGACCGGCATGAAGTTCACATGTGAGGTCTGTTGGAGTTTTACAATTGCCATTGTACATTATTGACGATGATCATTATTTCGTCACATGTTTTTCCCTTGTTGTTTGCTTTGGGATCATTAATAAATAATAGGATTGTGGTATAATTATATTATTAGCCAGAATGGGACGGAGTGAGAATGGTTGCGTAAAGAGAAAAAGAGCTGAATTTGATTAACGCAGCATGTTTCATGTGACGAAATTGAGATAAATTATTTGTATGCCATGCAAGTGAGTCAAATGTTCATTGAGACTGAGGTGAGTCCGCGATGATGGCGTTGAGAATTACATAGTAGCATAATTTCGGTTTTGCCAATATGAGTGCAATTTTATGAGCAAGTTCAGCCAATTGATTGGCGTCGAGCATGAAAATATGATGGATTTTCTCTGCTAATTAGTGCAAACATGGAGAAAAAGTGGTGATTTCGGTCAGGGCTCACATAAGATTACGACTGAAGCCCATATTTAGAGCCTTTTGCATATTGTGGTGAGATATCGGTGATATTTGCGGGCGGGAAAATTGCATGGACGGTTTTTCTGTTCCCTCCGTTTTTCCACCTTTTTCCACACTTTCATCGTGCAACAATCGCAATTGATGAACAGCATATTGTGACAATGGGAATGGCAAAAGGAACTACACAAGGTGGGCAAATTTCCATGACCATCATTCTCATTGGATGAGAACACACACACGATATATTCGCAAAGATAATAAATATTAAAAGACAGTTAAATGTGTCAACATTTGTGAAGTGAAAAAATATAAATGGAGAAGTTGTTAATCGCGCCAACAAAAATCATACGCCAATAATTTGCACCCTTGACCGAATACATGCAATTTAACTGAATTACTTATCAATGTACTTAGATCGACAGTTTCACGCATGTTTTCCTGACGTTTTTCTCGATCTCGATTGATTAAAAAGTGTTTCTGTTCATCTTGTTCCGAATGATACGTTGAAATAGTTTTGCATCTTTTCGTGTGATATTGAGAATTTTTCCCTGATCTGCATCTAATGCCAAATTGCGTCATGGTGCATTGGATTTGGTGTGATGGTGAAAAACTTCAAGTTCGCTACATAATTTACGCAATTTTCCACTGTAATGAAATTTAATGCAGCCGATGAACACTTGTAGATTTGGAGGATTATAGCACAGGTGAAGATTTATTGGCGTTGAGCGCTGCTGCCAGAATTTGAGGTCTTGCATTTCATGCCAAGTTGACTGATGAAGCGTGGAGGAGTTTGATGGAAGGAAAATTTTAAAAGCTCTAGCGTTTGCAATGATTTTTCAATGTAGTGTGATACCTTTATTTCGTGGCCACAGAACTATTATTTCTATCGAGAAATATGTGTGATGATACTGAAAAGAAAAATATTGCGCGAGAAAACATTGCATTGTTTTCCCTATGCATTTTTTAATTTTTCATAAATTTGCTTATATTCTCAAATTTTTCACAATGATTCTAAAGTAAGTAATAAAATTATTCTCGACAAAAATGAATGACACGAAGAACTGAAAAGAGAATTACCAAAAACAACAGTAAATATTAAATTATAGTCGAGTCAAGTTTAATGAATTATAAATGCACCTCTTAAAATCCTACTCGTGCCAAGATATTGCATAGTTTTACAACTTGTGTGTCTCTTTTTTCCATAATAAATAATCTTCTCCCATGTAAAATGAGGAAATTTGTACGGCAGAAGGAAAACGCGTTTGTGCATTTTTAATTAATTTAGCAATTAAGTCCACTTTGTATCGTACATTGCACAACGTTAACGGGGTCTAGGTAAATTCGATGGGAATTGGGTGAATTATCATCTTAATTTCCGTGTGATGCAGAAGTTGCATGCTCAGCTTCAACGTCCATCATCACTTGGCATGTGATAGCCTTGTCGATCGCTTTTCGAGCATATCTCGCATTTCTGATGCTGTTCGCGGTTTTTCTCTCCCGCCGGCAATGCCAGCTGTGGGTACTTTGGGATGTGATGATTTCCTGTTCTAACGATTCTCCGGAAGACAGTGCCATGCGTAGCTGGATAAGACATACGGAACAAGTGCGAGATGAGAGTTTTTTTTAGTCCTGCCCGGAGAGGGAGAATGTGACAAGATATTAAATATCTGCAAGGTCAGTTCAATTAAAATAGTTTTTCCACTCTTCTGCAGGTTATTTCGCCTCACCAGATCCGGATAAAGTTTATGACTGATCTGCGTAAGACGGGCGAATGTGGTTGGAGTAAAAAAGGTGGCAATATATTGTCTCATGGCTAAACAGCGCGAAACAAGGCGCGAGTTCCGCTGGTGCTGCCTCCACTGAGCTTTGGCTAAGCTGCGCGCGCAAAATGAAAGAGAGAGTGAATCGCGTATAAAATCAACTAGCCAAATCCACCAGCAGTCATTAAGTTGCCACTATTCGAATCAGTAGGATCCCACTTTAGTCCCACAGCCTCTTCCATTTCACGCTCATCGACCTGAGACAATTGAGTTTCAATCTGTGATCTCCTTAGTTCATAGACTTAGACAACAGGCCAAATTGCCTCATCGCCAACACCAGTGATAATCACAGGGATTATAAATCGATTTACAATCATGAAATTTGTAAGTGCAAAAAGTTATTCATTTTCTCTTCTCGAGCTGGCGGTGGGCTGGCGAGGAAAAAGAGCACGCGCTTCTTACAAGCCACCGACAATTATGGCAAATGAGGAAGTGTCCAAGAAATTGAGGAATTTTTCGTGAAATTGTGGTACAATTTGTGTGTGAAAATACATCCACACTGGTGGTTTAATAACTTGCAGTTTTAGAGTAATTTTCAGAAAATTAAACACGAGACCATTCGTGAGTGATTTGGTGGTCTAAAGTGGCGAGAAAGTTGACAAGAGAGATGTACGCAATAATTGGAATTTTATTCAATTGTACTGCATGAACTTCATTGTCAATCTCTAGGCACTCTCAGTTGCCAAGTGTGCCAAGTCTGTAGAGCCAAGTGTGATGCCAATAATGCCTCAAATTGTGCAGTGTTACGTGAATTGCACTAAAGTTTGATCGATACGACCATTTACGAGTGTGAAACCCATTAATAAGAGCTTTCAGCTTTTGCTCATTGTTGTTTGATCACTACTGAAAAAAAGTCGCGTAATCAGAAAGAATCGCGAACGCAAGATTACTTGACTCAATAAAAAACTCTCAGCTGTATACACAGTCTTATGCACGAATAATTCAGCTGGACTCTTGTAGCGTCTGTTACATAAAATCCCCAAGTAAACACCGAGCCAAGTTACTTAATTACTTCCGATATTCCTACAGAGTGCAGTAAAGCTCGAGTTCTTTTCTTTTCTTTTACGGTGATTATTAAAGCCCACATTATTATCTGCATTCTTGTCGTCGAGAATATGCTCTGAATGAGCAGTTTATTCGCACATGAAAGTCAAGGATGACATTCTTCAGAACACTTCTTGTGCCAAATGTGCAATTCCGCTATTCTATGAGGAAATTAATCTAATTGCATACTGCTACCTCAAGTTCACACACACTCACGTCATTTAGTTGCGTTAGTCAGCATGTTAGCACGTTATTTATATCGTTTATATCTGAAGCGTGATCACTTGTGCGATAGCCGAGAGATTTGTGCAGATTGGAAAATTGTGACTGAGAGGAAACATCATAACGAAAGATTACAACGCTTGGCAGCGAACCCGCAATGTCTGGTTTTTCCTTTTTTGTCTATGCGTATAAGGTTGTGAAAAATTACACCTGATATTGAGTGATATTTGAAATATTTCAGAAAAAAATATTAGAATTCAAGCAATGTGAGTACAATAAAATCTATGGGAATTTTTTTATTATGACCTTAATAATAGAAATGATTATAGCAATATTCACGGTCGTCTGATCCTTGATATACTTAATAAGAAGACTGCACAGCGTTTATTATACACAGAACAACATGTTAATGTTGAAAGACATAATCTACAGTGAATTGCACAATAACTTTAACTGAAGCAATCACATTATCTTTCAATCATGCATTTACCTATATATACATATGTATAGACATCGAGAATGAAAGCAATTTAATGATTAAAACACCGTAAATTCAGATAAACATCACTAAAAGTGCAATTAAAATATCAAGCACTGCTATTACCATGTGCATTTTCCACGAGAACATTGGCCCTGCCTCTCAATGCAAAATATGGGAAAATTTCGGTCAAGTGGCACTAAATAGATTTCACGGAAAGACAAAATCCTCATGTGAGTGCGTAAAGAGTCGTTGATCGTTGCCGGTTTTACCTCGAATGTCATGGTGAGGAAATTTAGCGGAAAAATGTGTGAGATATAAAAAATAGTGAATTAGTGGAACAAGATTGATATGAGAGACACATAATATCTCTTTGACCACTTTACTGTCTCAATATTGCTGTTAATTTAGCGTGGTTTCTTTTTTTCTCGTCTCCTTCTATACAGTGAATTTCAAAGTCATTAACACATGAATTGATGTGGGGAAATATATACAAATGTGTCTGATCACGTTGCAATAGTAGCACGTAATGCTATAGAAATGTCTCGTAAATTATTTTTTTTCGGGCGAAGAGAAAGAAAGGAAACAAAGACACCACGAGTGGTATAAAGGAAAATATGCCGACTGTCTGCATGCGCGGAGTTCTTGACAAAGTCATCCTAATGTGAAATGGTATGTAAATGGGATGGGGAGGAAGTGCAGTTAACAATGTCTTTTGAATCAGACATAGAACACCTAGAGGATATCCGTTACATTTTGCTGTTACTTCGGAGGCGTCGCAATTGCCGTTTATGCAGACAAGTCAATAGGCAAATGCATTTTACCATAACTGATACAATATGCAATTACCTCAGAACAGAGATGACCCAAATGTCCACAATTGTCTGATGAATTGCTACATATTTTCATATTTCAAGCAAAAAATATGTGATGTCTTTGATATCCAATTTATATTTATGCCGCCATGTCAGCACTCGGCAATTACAGCCACAAGCTCATCAGCAATTACACATTTGATGGAGTGCATATTTGTGCAGTGCGGACGCCGGGTGATTGGGTAAGGACTCTATCCATATGGCGCGCTCTCTTGAGATATTGCACTGATGAAACATTCCACACGTGATGGTTCTTCTGTCTCCTCCAGTGCTCAGTGCATACTTGGTCGAGTAAATAATGTAAAATAAATGAATTTGAAGTATTGAAAATCTGGAGTGAGCGAGAGGCCTAATTAACCATAGGCACTCTCGGCATTGCATGGCGAAGTGAAAAGAGCTGCTGAACTAGCAGGCAGGGAGAATTATATGAGGCAATGTAGAGTTTGTTTTATGATTTTATAACAGCAAAATTGAAGTTTATTTATTTTTCGAATCATACCATAAATACAAGGAGGTGCTTTTCAATAGATATGCCCCACTTCCCCGCGCGCGCGGTATTCAAATGAATGTGCACAAGACTATGGAGAGTTGGTGAGACGCTATATGAGAAAAGCTCACGGCAGCAGCTTTTTGACACAATTCAGCGCCACGGCAAAGATCTTTTTTTCACCACCATCTTTCCTCATTGAGAAATTAATTGCACGGCAATTTTGAAAAGCGATAGTTTTGTAATTTTCCCCGAGCTTTTTTCTCTCCATCGCACTCCCCACCCGCCAGGTTCTTTTGCATAACGCCGTGGATGGTAATTGTAATGTTTGCAATTTGAAAATTGTCTCTTGCAGTTCTTAGTCTGTTTCTCCATCTGCGTGTCGAGCAGCCTCGTGATGGCCCAGTACTTTGGCGGCAATCGCTACAACTTCGGCTACAACGCCCTTTCCGGTGACTTTGGGGGGCCCTCCGCCTTCGCCAGCCAGTTCGGACAATCGGGTAGTAGTGTTAGGGACCCACGACAGGACAGAGGTACTGGTAATTAACATTTTACTCATCAATCATTCTGACCATTTCGTGATATCCCCATTGTATGCCCATTTGTAGTTTGGACTGGTGAGCGAATACACATTATATTACTTACCTAATTATTCCATCTTTACCTATCAATTCGTGGCAGAGTGAAAAATTTTCAAAACTTCGACTGGTGATATTGCACAAAAATGTCTCATGGAAGTGACCTCATTTTCTCCTCACGAACATCGCGTCCGCGCGGGAAAATTATAATTAAATTCATTATGAAATATTTAATGATCCTCATGGTGGAAGTCGAATGGAGCAGAAGCATTGACATCTCATTTAGTCAGTCATTGAGGTAGAACTGTCATTGTGCAGGTTTACTCAAAGTAACACGCGACACTTCGGCTATTTGGCCACAAATTGGGCAGTCGAGATATGGCGAAAGATCGACTTCTGACCCAGAAGCTTGAGCAAAAAAGTGTTGCAATTTTCACGCAAATTCTGATTACTTGACTCTACACAGTAAAGATCAAAAATGTTGCGCCAATCTTGCGATAATGACGCCTGATTTATGAGATAAATGTTTTGTTTGTCATTTCGAAACATAATGCTTGTTTGCGGAGTTTGTGGAAATTCTTAGACGAGTGTGAACACCATAACAAAACGATTAGAAGAAAAAAAAAATCGTGGCTCTTCGTAAAGATTGTCACTTCAATTTGATAAGTAATGATTAGAGACATCCATTCCTATTACTAGTCTATCTTTTGATACTTTCATTCACGCCTTCGAACCCATAATCTTAGAAAAGTCATTCAGATTTGATAAAATGCAAATAGCAATATTTGAATTTGAGTTTCTCTCTGGAGGAGATGCAAAATTAATGTGCAAATCCCTGAACATCTTCCCGTTTCGTCCCTTCCCCAGGACCTGTTGTATTCCCACCCTCTCCAGCCAATGCCCCCGTGGAGTCCAGTGGTGTCATAGTCGGAGCGTCGGGCTACGGATTCGTCCCGCCGCAGACCCCCCAAAGTAAGCAACTGTTTTGAATCGCACAAATCGCACACCTCCGATAAATTGTCTAATTAATTGTAAATTTTCTGTACAGAGTGATGGAATTATCGCTAAATGTAATCTTTTTACATAATACTTATTAAATGATCGTAAGAGGAGAGCGAAAGAGAGAGAGAGAAAGAAAAAATCGTGAGTCGACATGGATGAATGGGAATTGTTGAATGAGTGTGGCTGAAATTATGCTAATCTGATGTAAGGTGTATTTAATTACAAATAAGTGTACAATTATTTATTTGTGTATAAAATGTAAATAAACGAAACTTCTTCAGCATGAGGAGAATTTTGTACATAAACTGTCCGGGACATCATCATTTTCTTGCACATGTTCATTGCCGACAAATTGGTGCACTCTCGTCTGGGTTGGACTAAATGGAAGTCTCTTGCTTAACATGCAAAGTGTTGCGGAATCTGTAAATAATCGTACACTCAATAAATGTGTACAATAATGAATAAAATAAATGTGAAATGTGTGAATAAAGGAGGTGTAATTTGCAGAAAATTGCAATTAAAAATCAAAGATACAAGATATACAGTGACTGACCACGAGGATTGGTTTTAATTGACTTTGGCTGATGGGATTGTAACATTGATATGTTAACTGTGCAAAATTGGTGTGAAAATGCTTGATGGTTTGATTGCTGATTGTTGAGCTGATTTCGATGCCTGTGAAGTTGATTGACAAACCAAGAGAGATCCCTCAGCAACTCCCTTCCTTGCCTATATAATGAAAGTGATTGGATTTCGTGAAGAGTGTGAGAATTGGGCTCAGAGTCAAGAATTAACTGTGATAATGTACAAAATTATATAATTATATTGTTTCTCTGGTGAACCTTCCGAAGACAGGATGTTGGTTTTCTCAGAAACTGTGTAAATAATCCTACTTTCCATCCCGGATAGGATGATAAAATTCTGTTCCTAAAATACCTATGCATATAACGTATGTATGTAAATAAACCTCTTAGGTAAGATTGCATTACTGCACAAATACAAAAAAATTCAGTGCACCACTTAGTAATAGAAGAGTGTGAACTATCATCTAAGAAGACGTACTCTGCAATCTCTTTCAGGGCCATTCTTTGGCTTTCCTCGGCAGTTTCCCTACACCCGATATCGATTCATTTGAAGTGTCTCTCTGGAGGAATACACTGTCCGTGAACTCTTTCAGTATTCGGCTCTAAAATCATCCATCCTCTTCATACTTTTTTCTTATATTTATGTTGTAAAAAAGATGTCGTATATTTCTGCTACAAATTAATTTATTAATTACCAGTATAAGTGTAAAGTGTGAACCACTGAATTCTTCTAAGCCTATATTAGGATGTGTTCTAATTTTGTAATTTATTGTGCAGAAGGTTGTAAATAATGACAAAGCATTAAACTGTGAGAAGAGACAATCCAATGACTTATCTCTTGTGTTCTAATGATGTTTGATTTGCAGAGCGAAATATATTAATGCCATACGATGCGGCTTGAAATTGTGAAGACTATGAAATTTGCAATAAAAGCGATTTATTTGAATGGAGCTCCCGTGTTTTTATTATTCTGCAATTTCGAATGACCCAATCAAATTAATTAAAGGCTATGAGAATTTCATAAACTTGATATGACTGTCATTTAGGAGTAAGATTGTGTTTTTTTTTTTCAATATAGCTTTGCTAATAATTTTCGCAATTCGAATTTCTTTGTTCCGGGAAGCACCTATTGAGTAAGGTAAGATTAACCATGAATTTATATACTAATTGACCTCTAATTCAGCTAATTAGACACAATTAGCTTTGTCTATTGAAGAATTTTTGAATGCCAAAAAATGAGATGTCAAGAAATGCACCTTATTATGCAATGATCATTCTGTAATCTTTTCTCTTTTGGTATTCAAAGCAAATCTTGGGAAATACTCCTGATAAGGCAATAGGGCATATGATACTCGATTTGTGGGATTTGCGTCTATGCGGGCGCTCTGCAGTTAATAGATAAATTTAGGAAAAGAGGCCGACTTGCATAAACTTTATTATAATCGTGATTTTCGGTTAATTCGAAAAGCCTGTCGAACACACACAATCTGCTTTGGTGGATCAACGACCATGGTGTTCTTCCATGTCAGACCACCTTCTTTGGCAAACACCAGAAACCTCCCGGAGCAATTTGCAAGACGAATGCATGCTGTACAGATGCTGTATGTTTGGTGGAGTGAGATTTGCCGAGTTGAGCTTCCTCGTTAGATTAGCTACTTGTGATAGAGGCAATATTTGCCACGGTAAGTACACATGAGGACTAAATACCACAGAGATTATCGTGGAAAATATAGTGTTTTGCATGTCTCAAAATTTAATCGCATTGTTTGCAGCGCATTTAAGTGCAGAAAACTGCACAGCAGCCACACAAATTCTTCAGGCGGGCAATCAATAATGATAAATGGACCCATATTCTGGGAATGTGGGTTCTGTCTAGAATCGAAGCAATGCAGAAGTCGTGTCTCTGGCCTCAGGGATTAACGATGGCAACGGATATTTTCAAGGGTAGCCACAGTTTGTTGGTGTTTTGCTATTACGCAAATTATATCCAATGCAGATTTGTCACCATTGCGCTACTGTTCATTAATAATATCATGACGATGTTGCAAAATGCATGTGACATGGCATCAACAATGGGCAAGGAAAAGTTCTTTTGTGGCCGCCTAAGCAAATTGAGAATGAGACAAAAATATTGCTCTATTTTGCACACCATGACAAAATTGCAATTTCTTTCAAATGAAAACATTGGAATGCAAATCCAACGTGGTGTAATGCCTTTTTTCACACTCACTCTTTACATGTATTTTAATGAATTCATTGGGAATTTTGTAATATAAACATAATGCTATAAAGTAGTGAACAAGTTAATATTATCAATAAACTTTTAGAGCACTTCATTAATTGTTTCACCTCAGAATCCATCGAGCACATTCCATGCATTCGAGCGGGCCGTTCTGCAAACAATTAATTACAATAATGGCTGGGAGTAATTTCAAAGAAGGCAGTTGTGCCATGAAATTTGTTAGCGCATTGCAACATTATGTGAGCAGTCGCGAAATATCGCCGACAAATAGACTTATAAATTGCTGATGTCCAGTGAGAGTTGAGTCTTGCTGAGCCTCATTCGAAGCCTTGTTGCATTTCCGAAGACACACTCCAATTTTGCCGATCGAAGACACTTCAAGATGGACTTTCGAAAACACAGTGAGCAACATAATCTCCGACTCTCTTCTGAATTATTTATTCTTCAGCTCTTCCTGCTTTAGTGACATCATTCAGTTGGTCTTCTTATCGTCTGGCTTCTTGCTGGCCGGCGCGTCTTCCTTGTAATGCAGGAAGACGAGCGCGAAGAGCCACACGCCGACCATCATGGAGAAGGTGCTGACGTAGTAAGGATAGGCGCTGGGAATGAATCTCTCATACTCCGTGTGCTGCAGCGGACGCACAGAGACTTGCGTGGTGCTGTACAGATGCGTGTAGCCCACGCGGTTGTAGTCCACCTTGAACTGGTACACGCCATAGACGTCGGGGATCTTGAACTTGGCCTGATACTCGCCGGGCTTCACCTGCTTCAGTGTCGTGCGGACGAAGGGATCGATGCGCACAAACTCCAGTTGCACGTCGTTGGCCACAAATGGCTCCCAGGCGCCACTGTTGATCTTCTCGATGCGGATCGTGTAGACGACGGGGTCGAGGATGGTGTAGGACGCTGGCGGATTGGTCTCGCCGTCCTTGGCGTGTGACACTGTGGACACGCGAAGGCGCCCGGTCTCGCCGAACACCCACTTACTGATGGTCAGGGCAACGTCCTGATTCCCTGACTTGGGGCTCTGCTTGCCACCGCTGGCCTTCTGCACGGATGCCGTGAAGGCCTCGTCGGAGAAGAAGTACAGCGAGCCGGAGAAGACGACGCGCGCGTTATTGCGCGCCTGGAGCGCGGCGATGAGAAGAGTGCCTTTGCCAATGGCGTGCGGATACTCTTTGATGGCACTGCTTGGAATGTAGCTGTATGCCGTGCTGTCGGCCGTCAAGACCTGCAGAATCAGCGGATTTTCGCGGTCGGCAATCAGTCCAGTGCCCTTGTACAGGAGCGGCGGACCGGTTTTGGGCCCCACAATCACAGGAGCGTCGATGAGATTCGCCGGCGAGGCCACGATTAGTGTGTGATCTCCAGCATCTGCAGCGTCATAATTCAGATGGTCAATCACAGCGGCACCTTCTTCGTCCAACTCAAAGCCGCATTCGGAAGCGAGCTCCCGAAGAGCATCTCCGGAATCCGTTCCGCCGGCAATCAACACATTTCCGCCGTCGTCGATGAAGTCCGAGATCTTGGCCACGCTCAAATCCCCACCGAATTCCTCCACAGACGGTGCGAAGATGATGATGTGCTTGTACAGATACTCGCCATACTTGGCGATCACGAGATTGGCGTCGTCCGCGAGTTTGTACGTGAGTTTGTAGCCACGATCTGGAAATGCCAGACACGTAAGCAAATGAGGTTAGAATGTTTTCGTGCGTTTTCAACTCACCAATGAGGTTTTTGAAGAATATCGAGTGTGTCTCCTTCACAGCTAGATTGTCCAGCAGCACGAGGACATCATTTCCTGACTGGGTGGCCGCTGCTGCGCCCAGAAAAAGGAGAAAAACAAGAGCCGGCACTTTCATCATTTTCACACTGTAAGATTCTCTGGCAGACTGCAGAGGGCGTGCCGATATTCGAAATTGGGCAACCCTAAACGCGCGTCGACAAATTTCAAAACTCTTCGCAAAACGCCTCTCTTAACATTAAGAGACCTCATAATCCGATGAAAAAAGTGGTTTTTAATGCTTTTCATTCTTCAAATGTTTTATAATACATCGTCTATACATGAAATTCTTTCATCTTAAATATTAATTATGGGATAAAATATTTGTTTTCTTTTAAATATATATCATATTTTCTATACATTATTAAATGTTACAATGCATTTTGTTTTCCTTTTTCTCTTTATAATAAAATAAAATATCCTCTTACATAACTTTCTACAATGCACTTTATTCTCTCTAATTTTCTTTGTTCACAATTTGCAAAACCCTCCAATTTGGGTTGAAGATCCAAAAAAAAAGTATTATGCTTCCAATTTCGCTTCTAGGAAATAAATATTTTATCACATAAAATCTATTATATTAAATTTGATAGAAAACCTCAAATATATTGTGTGATGATTCTGTAAATCTCTTTTCGCGTGGGATTTTCTACTATTTCTTGTTAATATCAAACGAAAATCCTGATTCATCATCAATCTAAATAGGAAAAAATTGAAGTTCAGACAAATAATGCATATCACAGAATATTATCTAATTGTTTTCTTCATCTTTTTGCTCTTTTTGTGTGTATAAATGTTCTTTTATCAATGATTTCCTTACTTCAGTAGTTTTATAGCTTTGCTCTCCTTACTTATTAAGAGTGTGATTATATAATTTAGTCGTGGAATGGTTGCAGAAGTTGCTCAGTTTATGATATACTTATTCTCGCTCTCGAGTGACCAGCAGCTGGTGTGCTTCCTGGCCAGCAGAGAGTCGCAATCGGCCATCACTTCGCCGGCCGCCGGCGCCGCTTCGTCCGAAGCCGTCGTTCCGATGCTGTTGTCGATGCTGTCATAGAAAACGCCCGAGGACTGTTTGGTTGTCTTGTAGAACACTCGCTGTAGTCTCTGGTCATCGTCAGAGCCGCCCTTCAGCTGCTCCCACGTCTTTAGAATGTTGGGATTCACTTTGCCGATGAGGCGACACGAGCTCTCGACCCTGGAGCTCTTCACCACCTCCGGACTCTCCTGGAGAGCGATCACGGACCTCCTGGCGCTGCTTTCATCCTCAGACTTGCTCTGAGAGTTCAGCAGATCGATCGAGTAGTTGTCATGGTAGTACTTGATCTCCATGTCGCGGTTCTTCTCCCTGTACACGCTGCTGTGTCGGCTGTGCTCCTCCGGATAGCGATAAGCCACCTCCACGTTCGCCACCGGGCTAGTGTAGGTCTCGAAGGGCGTCTGGAAGATAGCCGGCGGCTGCTGGATGCGCGTCCTCATCAAGTACTCGCGAATGAGGTCGCGCGACCCCCGGAAATCACCCTCATTCTCAACCTTTTCCGCCACACTCTCCGCACTCTTGCACAACTGCCGGGGTTTTTGGGGAAGACACCGGAGAAAAGAAAAGAAAAAACATAAGGAATGGGATTAAATGCAAGTATTCCTCCACGCAAACCGACAAAGTGGATGATGAGGGGGGAGAAAGGCAAAAAATGCTCTCAAATTCCATTCTCTAATCACAAAGGAAGGAAAACTATAAAGGCGATCCTATGATCTTTCATAACTAAACGCCGCCCAAACTAAACAAATCCATCACTGTTAATCATCTTTCACCCTTTTGTGTTGTGGAATACTTTCTGTTTATCTAATTTCAGAATTTATCTCTCTGTCAATTCGATTTGTGGTTAAATTCTAGAGTTATTACAATTTCTCATCGTTTCTTTTACAATGTAACATTGATTAAAAAAAGATTCTATTTGATTTCATCGTTGGAATTTTCTATCAGTCAGTGTCTTAGAACTTAATGTACACTAGCAAAAGTATGATTAGCACGTTGTAAAGAGGAATTATTATTCTTGCTAATGTAAAGTCGAAAGTGATATTGATAATGCAAATCTAAAGTGTCTAAATACGATTTTTTAAAGTCTGCTTTATTTTCATTCTATCTGGTTCTTCAATTATTAAAATAGTAAGATTTTGGCAATGAGAACATCCAAAGTCAAAGAATGAATGAGTTCTAAGTTAAGTTTCAAGTTAAGTTTCTTGACTTTTGAAGTTAAGAATTTCACGCGCATACAAACGCAGAGAAACTTCATATCTTTGCGATTTGGACCTTACAAAGTGTGTTAAATTAATTCTGAGTGGCAACGCTCTGAAAACATTGCAATCTTCATCTAAAATGACAATTATTTTCGCAGATCTCATCAAATATTGAAAAAATTACATAATTTTAATCTCTTGCTCTCTGCCTCAGCGCTAGATTTGAGTCCAATGTTTAATTCAAATGCTTCAGTCGATTAACTTTGCTAACTAATATTGCGAACTTTTCGTTCATCGCTCTTTTAATTACCACACGTGCTATTCATCTCTCCACTAGTGTAAATTTGTTAATAATTATGAACAGGAATTAGCTTACATTCGAGGGATTCTACAGGAATTTGCGGACGAGGATGAGGAATTTTCAGGATTGTCTTCTGTCTCCTTTTCCCATTAAAAACTCCCTTCAAATTGACTCTCTGACAAGCGCATGCTATTTACAAATTAATCAGCATCAAAAGAATCAGTGAAATTGGTGGAAAATCTTATCCAACAACAACTGATTCTGCATTACAATGAATGTTTGTCAATGAGCAATGTTGATGATGTCTGAAATGTGTTGCAATACGAGAAAAAAATGTTCCCTAATGATTATGATTATCTAATAATTCTCTAATATATGTCATGTAATTAAAATTCTGCGGTTTCCAAACACACTGTTTTCTTTTCTGCTCTTCTCAGAAGCACAAAAGGTGGGTCAATTGAGTAAATAACTACTGCTTCAAATCACGAAATCACATTTTCTCCCAGGGCATCTTGCTTTCAGTTTCACTCTTTTCATTTGTATGGATGACTATTGTGAATGTTGTCAATGAATATGGGTTATCGGCTGTGTTAATGATTAGCGGGTGTACAAGTGGCATTTTTAGTACTAATCTCTATAAAATAAAATCCATCTACAAGTGCAAAAAAATGAACTATAAATTGAGGTAAAATAACCAAAAATCATGTAAAATGAACTGAGAAATCTACAAGCCAGCAATGTTGCAGCTAGAAATGGTATAAACAATCAACAAAACGTGGGAGAAGGACTTACGAAACAGGAGAAAGTACTAGTAGACCTCAATCCTGATGGTTGGAATGGTTGGATACAAATCCCGTCGAATGTAGCGCCTTTCGATGTCCTTCAAAGTCCATAATTTAAGTACTTTTTACGCTTTGCCTCTCTTCAACACAAAACTGTTCTCTCTTTTTTTCTGTCTTCTCTTTTTTTGTGTAACTCAAGTGAGAAAATAAAATCGAATTGATTCATTGTGCAAGAAAAACTGCTTTACATTCAAAACCAATTTCGATCAGGTGTTACGCAAGTATTAATTTGCTGAATGAACCGAAAATGACCACTATTTTGAATTTATACTCTCTTAATTACAAATTTTATATTTTATTCCTCCTCTTTCTACGGTGTAAAATGTTTGCTGATTATTGTTAAAACGGCTATGATTTTATTTCTTGCATTATTCATACTGTTAGTTTCGCATAAAATGAATGATAAGAGAGATAGGAACACTATATTGGCGGACGTTATCTTACACAAGTACAGCTTGTCAACAAAAATAACACGTGCAAGTCACAAGAGGCAAGATTTAGTTGGTTATTCACAATTTCTTTTGCAAATATGTAGAGAAATTATTAGAGGAATTCGCATCTCTTCGACAGTTAGATTCTCTTTTTGAATGAATTGAGCTGACCAGAAAAATTATTCAACTTCTTTCAGCCACTTGACCACACTTATGACTTAAAGAAAGGAAAAAACTACCATTAAAACAGTATATGAAATGTAACAACTAATTAAAATCACAATTAAAATGTTTCAGAGTTGCTAATAAAATTCATAATTCGAATTCATTACTTTTTCTCATTCCTTTCCTCCTCTTTTTTCTTAACTTTATCTCTCTCTTTCTCTCTGTTTTTTTATTCATTTAAATATCACACGTGAAATTACTTTATATACAGTTAATTAGATTTTGACTGTACTTGTTGGTAATTCAGAGTTTATCATAAACTTTTTCAATCTCTGTCCGAAAATGTCTCAATCTTGAATGGCGCAATGAACTATTTCTATATACATGCGCGGCATTTGATCTTTATCACTGTCCATGATAGTATTAATCAGAGAAAGAGTTCGCTTTTTAGTCAAATCCGACACACACAGAAACACAAATTAGCTCTTGAACCAATTCCAAAAACTCGACCGCAGATTGCGTACCTTTCCATTCTCATAATCTTGTGTGTCACCATTTCTTGCGCCGGACATTCGTCGAACTGGAACTGAAGACGGCTTCGCGCGATTCTGCGGCGGTGGCGTCGCCGCGCTCAAGTCTCTCCTCGACGCCACTTTCGCGGGCGACACGCTGACATCCAAATTGCGCGTCTTCGCTGTCGCGGAATCTCTCTTGGCGCGCGGCAGTGGCGAGTGCAGCGGCTTCGCCGCGGACGGAGTGGATTTCGCTGACACGGGAATCGACGAACCGCGACTGTTGGTGCCCAGAGACGTGTCCTTGCGCCAGCTTTGCGCCGAGTCTGGCCGATTGGGTGTTGGCGAGCCGCCCTCTTTCTTCACTGAGCTCGGCCCCGAGCGCGCCATCAGACTGCTCGTGCTCTTGCTCAGGCTGCGGTTGGACGGCGGCCCCGAGGGACTGGATTTGCCATTGCTGCGCCCCGTCGGCGGCTTGGGCGCCGCGCTGGCCTTGGTGCCGGCCAGCGGAATGCGACTAGGACGTTTCTTTGGCGTCTCCGGCAAGGCACGATTCTGCTCCGACTGATCCTGCGCCGACTCCGTGCTGCTGCTGTGCTGCATGATCTCGTCCATCGCCAGCGGCACCATCGCCTTCATGCTCGGCGTCGAGATCTGCGACTGCCTGATCAACGAGTCGCGCGTCGGCGACAACTTGAACGTCGGACTGTAGTCCAACCGGGCACTGGACTTATTCTCCAGCACTCGCAGCTGCGCTCGCGTGCCCTCGAACTCAATGTTCTTCTCCTCCAGCTGGAACTTCAGGTCATCGATGTCCTCCTTCGCCTTGTCCAAGCGCTTGATAAGGTGAATCTTCGATCGAGTGGCATTATCCAACTTCTGCTGCAGTACCTGCGATGTGCGACACAAAACAAAAAGAGCAATTAACGCTTCGCTGCTTGAATGTGGACAAGAAAACTGAATTGGAGAAATTATATGTATATATGATTCAAGTATACATATATATGAAAACTCACTTCAAAAGCACCCAACTCTCAAAAGAAGTGCGCAAAAACTTGCCATTATTCCCAATTTTGAAAGATTATACGTTATTTGAATGTTTGACTTTTATCTTTGAATATTTCTTTGTTTAAGTCCCTCTTTAACACCCGGCAATAATCATCTTCTCGGCCATTCAAATGTCTCTGACACGCGAAAAGGCGGAAATTTCCACTTTTCTCGTCTCTACGCCGAATCATTATTAAAGGAATTTGCAAGTGAATAAATCTAACCATTGTATTTCTCCTCAAAGGCAATATAATGACAACAAACAGAGAAGAAATACATATATTGAATAATCACCAAAGCCTGGCTGAACACAATTATTATCAATTGCATTCAACTTTCGACATGACTTCATTGCCACTTTTACTCTTTTCTCGAAAAATATTCAGCAGCATTTTCATTCCAGAGAGTGTGCAAGAGAGAAACGTCAATATAATTTAGTAAGTTAGTAATTATTTAATCAATAGCTCTCTTCTCCAACTCCATCCAGTTCATCTCTCTCATGAGTGTGGCGAACAATGGATGTATTAATCCATCAAACAATAAACGTGCATTGCAAAAAATACAATTCAATTCTCACGTTTATTTCTATCAACCACAGAGAGATTTTAGTTGCACACACACACACACATTCACGTCTAACAAATAGTATGTATGATAATAAATTTAGAAAGCGTCGGATGGTCAATAATCAGGCTCATACAAAAAATAAATTAAATATAAACGCGAAATCGAAAAGAGAAAATAACAATGAAATTCTCTAAAGTCAATTTGAGAATGATATTGATTCCAATTCACATCAGTCTCTGCAATGGGAATTTTCAATGTCTCCCAGCAATTTGCATGTGTGTGCTTCGATAAATTAATGCTCTTTTTCGCTGTGTTGACAAAAGTGATTGATCTCGACGCGGAGCTTTTAATTAGCATTTTCGCTTTCAGCAAACATTCGACACTTGCATAATCACACTCTTACACACTCTCTTATCAACCCCGTATAGAATGTAATTATTGAATTTTCCGACTCTCCCATAAATTTTCGCGCTACAACTTTTCATACACAAAATGCTCGATAAACACATGGCACACGAGACACGCAAACTCTCTTCGGGGAAATTCATATATTCCAAATCATGGTCAAATGATTTTGAAATCGATCAAACATCATCGGTTTACAACATTCTTAACTCTGTGCACTTTGTGTAGTCCCTATAAAATGATTATCGAAACGATTTACACGAACTAGGAAGCCATTCGCGAATTCATCCACTTGTGAATTCACTTTCGCCCCGCCCAATTGCACGCCCCGCCCCTTGATTGCCCAAATTAAAGACTGAAATAACTCACCTGGTTCTGAACGGTGAGTGTTAGAAGGTGTCGTTGCAGTTCCACAACGTTGTTCTCCAACAGAATCGCCTCGATCTTCTTCGAGTCCGCTAATCTCACTTTATTCAGTCTATTGGGTGTGCTGACTAGTCCATCCAGCCGTCCGAGAATCACGCCATCGCTGCGCACACTTTTTGTCGCCAGCGCAACACTTCCAGCATGCTCAGGCGTCGACAACTTCCGGCCACTGTTCAAACGTGACTGCTTGGAGGCCTCAAATTGCTGATGCAGATCTTTGAGGCGCAGATTCAGCTCCACTTTTTGACTCAGCGCCGCCTTCAACTGCTCTTCGAGCTCCCTCTTGGCCAGGCTCAAAGCACTCATTTGATCCTCCAGACTCGTCGACTTGATGCGCCCCGACAGATTCTCCGCCTCCACTTCCGCCAGTTTGTCAAGCAGTCGATCCCGCTCCTTCCGCAACAGCTGCACATCCTCCTTACCCACTCTGTCGAGCTGCTTCTGGAAGCTGTGCGGGATGCTCGATGTCCTGCAGCGCTCCTTCTCCAGCTGCTGCAGATGCTCCACCTCATCGCGAAGCCGATTGCTCTTCCTATGCAGCACATCCAATAAATTCCACAGCTCATTGTCGCTGTCCATCGTCATACGTTGTGATGTATTTGATACATTTACTCCCTGCCAATTAAATATCAATTTCTTCTGTTTATTCATCGTCACAGAAAAATCGTCTCCTCGTCACTGACCTGCATAGCACCATTTGTCGATGAGGCACTGTGTGTCTCCTTCGACGAACTCGTCTCCGTGGAGAATCCCGAATCCTGAACAACACTGCCATTTCCCTCGCCACTCTTTGGTTCCTTCTTGCCACTGTGCGAATTACTCCGGCTCCTTATCAGCGATGACGACGATATTTCCGCATTCTCCTTGGGTGTCAATTTCCGACGCACGCGAATCCCTGGCTCCCACTCTGATCTTCTGCTTTCCGCGAGCGCACATATAAATAGAAGGAAAACTATTGTTAAAGCGTGCTATTTATAATAATCCCAACGCATTGTGATTTATTCGGGATATAAAGCGTTAATTGTTGAGATGTTTTTATAGACAAAATTCTACACAGTTCATTTACAATTGGTCCAAACTACAATTATAATTAAAAAAAAAAACCCACCTTGACGCCAATGAAGACGATGGCAGGCCTGTAATTGTACTAGATGCTGACGATGATGCCATTTTGTGTTTGAGATCAGGGAAGGTTTCAATAACCAAATCACGAAATTCCAGTAAAGCTCCGACTTCATTCTGTAATTCCTGAGAAATCGAGACCAGAAAACATCACATGAAATACCTCAAATGATCTGAAAATTCATCTCAATTCTACCTGCAATGACTTTGTTTGATCTGTGACGTGATAATGATAAGGTCCTGGAGGCGATCTCAGTGGCATACACTCCATCTGGCTAACTCTTGCCCCTAACGTGCACAGTTCGCCCTGAAACATAAGAGGAAAAGAGCATTTTCAATATTTTTGATAACATTACTCAAAATCACACTCAACATATTGCAACTTGAGATTGGGTGAGGAAAAGAAAGTCTCATTTTTCACTGCTCCATACCCACTTATTTCTTACATACACAGCAACACCGCCAGGTGTAATTATGCGCAATGAACTTTTCAAAGAAAAGAAGGTTTTTCTTTATACTTGGATGCATTGTTTGGATTTCATATTATATTAAATTGTGTGTGAATGAAATCAAAAGAATATATCACTTATTTACGCCTGCACAATCATTTTATGTCAGTTCGCGCGCGCATTGTATACTTTTCAGTCACCCAATGCAGTGATGACATATTTTCTTCCGTATTTGGCAGCCTCCCGACGAAGAAATATCATGTGTACCAGAAAATATTTATGATATGCAGTAGTTGAGAATTGACACGCACGAAATGAGACACATTTTCATGTTTTGATCTCAATATTTACAAGGCATATTAGCCAAAATAGCTCAATGTTCTCTAAAATTTGTTATTCTATCTTAGGAAAATTCAATGTTTTTCCACTTTTTGCATTTCCTCTACGAAAACTACACCACTTCACTGTAATTTAATATATTTCTCATATTCCACAAGACATTTTTGACACCCAAGAACAATCTTCAGCCTTCAGTCGAGTGAGTAGGGATGGAAATTCTTCGCTTTTGAACTTTAGAGGTCATCTCAAACCACACTCAAGATTCTTTTTCAATTGAATAAAAATACTGCTCACTCTCGCGTGAAGGAAGGTTTTCATATTATTGGAATTGTGCAGGAAGTGACGTAAGATCAGCGCACATTGGCAGGTTCAGAAGATCCCGAAAGAAGTTCAATTTCAAGTCTGTCGCGTTGTCGTGATTAATAAAAAGCCTCTGTTCTTAGATTGGCGAGATATGTTAGTAGCAAATTTGTATTGGGTTTCACCATTTAAATGTAATTTATTCAAGGAGACACAGCAAGTCATTGTTTTATAAGAAACACATTTTTTGTTCCACCCAGAAATTTCCTGTAATATGCAGACGTGCGTGTTTCATTCATCACACTTTGACTTCTTATGTTTTTCTTTATATGAAATTAGTATTATGTTGTTCCTCAATTAAACAACTCTCACAAAATTACAAAATTTGGCACATTATAGACAAAAAAGAATTGCGTGGCTTATAAAATATCACTCTCTGACTGTAAGTTTCCATCGAAATACAAGAATATTTGTCATTTTATAATATTGTAATTTGATAAAATAACTTAATTGATGCCTTTTTCAAGCGACAATCAAGCAATTTCATATGTCTTGCATGTAAAGTCAACTACACTTTTTTCACATAACAAACACAGAGTCTATTCATCCGCTCAGCTTTTCTCTACGTTTTTGCCACAAATACATTTGACTTTTTACACCAATTTCAGAGAGCGCATTTAAAGGCGCGATAGCAAATCCCCAGTAAAAGTTTAATTTGTCTGAAAACTGAATGACCAAATAAAAAATCTAGTAAAATATCACATTATACTGTACACAACTTACGTACATTATGTGGAGTGTAAGAAATTACCGGAAGTACTCTGTCATGAATGATCGTTTCAATTACAGATTGTATTCCGATAATTGCAGCGGTAATTAGAAAGTGCGCTTAAACCCTTTTAGTAGATTCACTGGTATTACGATCTCCTCATTTGATTATGTTATTAAACAGAAGATAACCAGAGAGATGTTATGGAATTATCGATAGAGGGAAATATAATTGGATTTTGAAGGCACATTAGATTGTATATCAAATTCACCTCCATTTCGTGTGCCTTTCATAGACATTCCAATGCAAATTTACAAAATAAAAGACGAGGCACACGATTCCCCGAAATAATATTCTGCAAACTTATCGATTAGACACTCATTTTATCGCTCCGTTTTATTGTTTTGCCCGATTGTTTGAGCGCGTCAGAGTGAAATTTCCAGGCAAATTTTCCTCTCGTTGGCATGTAAGCACAATAAAAGTGAAAAATGTGTCAAAGTTCAGCAGCAATTAAACTTTGGACATAAAACTTTTCACTTTACGTTGCACATCTTGCAACACAACACACCATATGAGTAATAAAAGATATGAATATGTGCAAAATCATTTGTATGAAATCCCGTTTCACCTTGTCATTATGTTTATCTACAACAATGGAGTGGATTTTCTACTTGTACATCACATCTAATGAAGTGAATACGAAGGTCTCGATTTCAATATAACTTGTGTTATATGATAATAATTCCTGAAGAAGGACGTTCTGATTTGTTCTTTTGTCCTCTTTATAAGTCACTAAATAACAAAATCAGAATATTACGTGCAAATAATTGAATTAGCATTTATACACACAATGTAGCACAAATAAAAGTTTTCTCGTGAAATTTTCATAAAATGAATTTTCTGCTTACTAGCAAGTTTGATCAATACACTATTAGTAATACATGTCATCAAATATGCATGAATTATTTGATGTGCAGGCCATTAAGATATTTTTAGTCTCTATGTACAATACACACATTGTCAGTAGCAAGAAACATTCCAGCACAAGACTTTATTTCTCTCTTGCGCTCAGACTTTCCCCGTATCGCGCCAAGCGGCAAAGCATACAAAATTGACAGATTGAAATCCATCGGCTTTTCCTCTAAATGATCTGCTTATTGAGTCTTCAAGGTCTCAATTTTTCTCTCCCCAAAATAAGAAAATGATGATATTAAAGCGTTCAATTCATGATCTGGAAATTGAACGGCCGAAAGAGTGAAGACGCAAAAAAAGTTCATCAATTTATTGCCTATACAAACACAGTGCAATTCAACTCTTATTCTCTATAGTTCGAAAGTAAATAAGATTCTTCCAGCAAAACACACGCTATGCCAGGCAAAAATTAAGAGTATTGCAAAGTAAATAGGCAGTTAATGGACCGAATCACATACAATTTTTGTGTCACAGACACACCATTTTTTCTGCATTTCATTGTTCAATTTCCTTTTCCGGCAATTTCATTCACTGATTCAGATACAATAACCAACACTGATCGTATGGGAGAGACTCCGCGACAGGTGATCGATTTCACTATTTCTCATGCTCTCTCACTATGCAAAAACAACATACAAGCCTTTTTTTAGCCATGGACAGCATTGCAAAATGCACTCTGATAATTTTCTGCAGATTTGACACAAATATGAACACATAAGCCCATGGATTTCCCATAAAAGCATTTCTAGGCCATTGAGCAACGACAACCTAATATTAAGTGCTTCCCTCTTCTTTAATTATGCTCTCCCCAACTATTATTTGATCACCCGATTAATCATGGATATCCATAAGCCTATATAACTACACAGCATTGAATGCGTGGAATCTTTTTATATAATTTTTACACAACCATTTCTATAAATAGCTTACACAGTTTCATAATGGTTGACAATACAATTCTGGATATTCTTTTACCAAGATGAAACTGATATTTATGGGATACAAAAATTCAGTCAGAGGAAAATATTGTTACACTGATCATTTTATACAATAGTGTGTAGAAAATGTGGTCTAAGACTAAGCAAATCCAGGAGTCAAATGGACACAAAACATTCAAGAAACGAAAGATTCAGGTTACTTAAGCCAACGACGCTTGATTTACGACACAATTCATCACGGCTCGCCAGGAATTTATCCAAACTAAATTGAGAATCTGACTTAAGAAACTAAAGAAGATTTTAATTGGAGAATTTATTCTTACACCTTTCAAATTTAGCACTTTATCAGTTAAAAATGACACGCGAGATGCTTTCAAACAGATCTCAGAAGCGAAGTACTGTAAAAGAGCGCATATTTATGCATGTTAAGTCATACGTTTAAAGATATATATATAATGTTTTCCTTATAATTGAATACAATATGATGTAAGACAAGAGAGGTAATTAAAGAAGACGACCAGTAAAATTTTATGCACTGATTGAACCCATCGCTGGCTATTTATGAAAGAAGAAAAAAAAAGATGAATTAGATCAAAATGTATGTATTTATTGTTCTCTGTTACTTGTAACTGGATTCTTCTGCACGTTTTTTTTCTTCATCAAATTATCAGCGAAATGGTTGGAAAGAATATACCGCGGAGGCTAAATATGAAATACAATGCTCTGATAGTTTTACTAATGGCAGTAAATACGTGGTTTAGACTACCAGCAAATATGAGTTGAATCTGTCTCAGATTAATTATCACGGTCTTTAGCTTTTCGTATAATCATAAAAATAAAATTTTAATTGCATAATACAGTACCGTTGCTCGCTCATTGCGTGCTTTCTGCCAAGCAGTCATAAATAAGAACAATCACAGAATCTCAGCAGCTTCCAGTATGGATCTCACCTGCTGATTTTAGTGTGTGATAACACGTGGCCAATGAAGTCATGTGATTATTATTGGATTTGTGCATGATTAGTCGAACAATTGGCAGAGAGGGAATATTATATTGTAGGTCAGAAAGCGGATCTAATTTCTCTAAGTCGCTTTTTTCGCAGTCGAATATTCACTTGTTGAAAAACGTGAAAGAATTGTGGTTCTCGAGCAAAAACGTGACGAGTAATTAACGTTATTCAATACGATTCCCTGTTAGTGGCACAATAGTCATGAATATTAAGTCAAAAGTGGGGAGGAACTGAGGAAAAAACGATGATACGAATATGATTCTCTTAAAATATGCAATTTATCAAGTCGTATTTTATTGCTTTTGCAAAAGAACTGGAAGAGATATAATGATTATGTTGAGTACAGCGCATGAAAGATTCACATGTCATCTTCAGCACTGATCTATGAATGATAGCATTGAGAATAATACCACAATTTGATAAGTTTTTTCTTTCATTATATTCGCATTGTGTTTACCGAACCTCATTTCCATCGTCTTGTATTTTGTGAAATTCATGTGCATATGAAGCATATCGTGTAAGTGCATTTCA